CAGTGTGAGAACTCTTGGTGGCGATAGTGGATGATGCATGTGTTGAGCAGCACAGCAGCCGAGAGGTCAATGGCTGTGACCTAGAGCAGGGAGAGGGCCAGGTGGCAAAAAACTCGTACCAGGAGCCAAACCAGCCATCGCTGGGGGACAGGAGTGTGCCCCGCGCTCACTCACCTGCAAGCTGGTCTTCAGGGAGTTGAGGCACACGATGCGCTGGCGGCTCTGGGACAAGAGAAGGCCGTCTGGGGAGAGACAGGAGCAGAAGTGAGGGGTGGTGGAGGGCAGCGATGGCAGCCCTGTCCCATGGGCACCCTCCTGGCTACTTGCCCTCCAGTTGGAGGTCTACACTCATTTGGTCCAGGTCTGAGGTGGGTGTGAAGTTGCGCAGTGGGATCTGCTCCTCTTCACGCTGATACAGAAACTGCAGCAGCTTCAGGCTCCAGGTGAGGTGTCTGTAAGAAGCAGGAAGTCACTGCCAGAAGGGAACTGCATAGTCATGTCCTCCATCTCCCTGTCTCTCATCCCCAGCTGACTGGCACGCTGGCACAAAGACACCAGCCAGTGCCCAGCTGCAGCCCAGCCCAGTGCTCTCATCCCATCAGCAGAGGATCCCATCAGCAGAGGATCCCATCAGCAGAGGATCCCATCAGCAGAGGATCCCATCAGCAGAGGATCCCATCAGCAGAGGATCCCATCAGGGTGTCCTACTGGAGAACCAGCTCACGTGCCTTCCCCTCCTTCCCCAGGAGCCCAGCCCCAGGCCAAGCTCAGTCCTTCGCACTGGGGTGGGCTCTAGGACTTGCTCTCTGTGGTCTGGCAGAGCAGGGGACAAGCAGGGAATGGCACAATTGTCCCCAAGTCCATGTCCCAAGCGCTAATCGGGGCTAGGACAGCCTCCCCCTCAACCTGCCTCCTTACCTCTTCTGGCTGTTCATAGACAGCACCATGCTGGTGTTCTCCAGCTTCACCTCCACCCGTCTGGGGACGAGCTGCAGCGTGTCCCTGCTCAGCAGAGACAGGGACTTCAGGGGCTCCCCTGGGCCTGAAAAGGGACACATGGAGTCGCGGGAAGGCTTTAGCCCAAACCCCCACACGCTGCAGCAGGAGGGAGTGATGGCACAGCCAAATTCCTCTGGCTACAGTGCAAGTATGGGGGCTGCCAGCCCCTGCCCTGCCCAGAGCTTGTCCCTGTCCCTAACCTGCACTGGGCTGTTCCCCCGTGCTGCTGCGCTGGGCCCCAGCAGTGACGTGGTGCAGCAGCGGGCTGCAGAAGAGCCCTTCGTGCAGCTCTGCCTGCAGCGTCTGAACGCGCAGCCTGACGCCCACCAGCCGCCGCTTGCTGCTGACCTCCAGCGAGAGGGAGAGCGCCAGGGCCAGCTCTGCCAGGCAGGTGTCATCCTGTACGGGGACACGGGCAAGGAGTGCACAGGGAGTCACCCAACTCCCTGCCAGTGGACGCTGCAGGTGAAGCCCTGGGCACGGTGCGGAGCCCAGAGCCTTGCAGCACCGCCCAGCCCCAGGGACACGCTGAAACAGGTCCTCGGGGTGCCCTGGAGAGCTGGTGCTCAGGCTTGAAGTGTTGAGCACCTTCCCCAGCACTCACCAGCTGGCTGCTCCGGAGGACTTTGCTGTTCACCTTTGTCAGGCTCACCTCGCAGGTCAGGCTGAGGAGAGCAGAGGACAGAGGATGTGGGCCCTGCTGTCCCCAAACCAAACCTGCCCTCTCTTTTCTGTGGGACACAGGGACACCAAGTCCTTGCTGCAAGTTACCCTAAAAGCAGAGCACACCCTAACTCCTGCGCTGTGCACAGCATAGCAACTCATAATTTGGAGATCACACAACTCGAGCTTCCCATGAAGGGAAAAGGGACCAGATCGGCCTCGGAGGAGGTTAGTGTGTCACATCACAGGTGACATGGGATGCTGCTGAGTGGGATGGAGAGAGGTGAGGCACCAGGTTGGGGTCGGAGGAGCCTCCCAGTCCCCTGGGACCCGAGACCAGGCCGGGGAAGCAGAGCAGGACACAAGCACAGTGTTACCTCTTGCCATCACCATTCAGGAGGAGACGCGTCTTGCTGGCTTGGATGTGCCAGAGAGACTCTGAGGTGGCCACGTGCAGAACCATGATGTTGATGGAGTCCATGTGGATGGAAAAGAGCTGGAGGGAAGGTGCTACTGTGAGGGATGTCCGACAGCAGCGCAGCCCGCAACAGCCTCTCACTGAGCCAGTGCCTCACCTGGCTAAGGAGCCTCAGCAGGGAGGGTTTAAGAGTCAGGTCTGCTCTGCTTTCATTTCCATCGGCTTCTCTGGGAGCCTCCGGGATGGATGGCTGGAACCCAGGGCCCTTCTGGAGATCCGTGCGGATTCGCACCTCACCAAAACACAGCTCAAAGTAGCGCCTGTAGAAGAACAGCACAGGCTACTCTTACAAGAGCTTGCAGGTGGCCTGCACCCAGCCCCATCATCAGGGATACCCCCACCCTGAGGACATGCAGGGCTAGCACAAAGGCATCCACAAGACACTGCCACCTCAAAGAAATGTGATTCCTTCCCACACAGAGCAGACCATGGGGAAATAAGGACTGCAGAAGGTGTAAAGGCAGCAGAAACGCAGTCAGCGGGGCCAGGGATGAGCCATGCCCACCCAAGAGAGCAAGGAGGGAGCTGGGGCGGGGGTACGTACGGCAACTCCCGGCTCAGTTTACTGGAGATCCAGACATTGTCGATCTCCTGCAAGGACACACAGGTAAGTTAGAGAAGAAACAACCCGGCTCTGCCTTGTGATGCTCGTCCCGATATTCCTGCTCTGCTCCCAATGCCTGGCATCATGCAGGGAGCAGCCAAAAACCCCAAATTTGGCCATGGGAGGAAGAGCATGGCACCAGCTACGGGGCTGCGCAACAGGACCTTGGCCGCAGGGATTTGCTGCCAGCCTGGAAGCGGGAGCAGCCGCCCTGCCTGCCCTCCTCTGCCGGCGACCACCCCTCGCCCAGGTACCCACCACAGTCTGCTGCTCCCGCTGGAACTTGAGGCTGATGTTCTGGGCCCAGAAAAAGCCAAAGGAGCCGATCTTCAGCTCCGCATGAAGCTTCTGCCGGCACCAGGTGACGGCCAGGCGACACGCCAGCCACCTGTGGGGACAGGCAGAAGGCCAGGGTCAGCGTCCCCGCCGGGGCTGGGGACCCCTCTTTGCCCTTGGAGCGCCAGTTCTGGCACCCACCGCTGGAGAGGAGCTCCCAGGGCCTGGCCCCACCACCACGGGTGCCCCAAGCTGGGGCAGAGACCCTGCAGTCACCCCCCTAAAGCCTTGACACCCCCCCCACCCCCCCAAGGACCCTCTTCGACCCCTACACCCCCTTGACACCCCATGCCCACCCCTGCAACCTCCCCTGGACTCCTGTAAGCCCCCAAGCCCCTGGCACCCTCCCGCACCCCCCCCAGCCCCCCCCCCCAATTCCCTGCATATCACCCCTCCAGCCCTAGGACACCCACCCCCACCCAAACCCCTGCAGGCTCCCCCCCACACCCCAACACCTCTCCCCCAGCCCTTCCAGCCACCCCAAGCCCCTGGCACCCCCTTGACCCCAAGCCCTCTTTGCCCCCCCTTAACCCCTGCTGCTCCCCCCTCCAGACCCCTGACACCTCACCCCCAACCCCGCGGGTCCGCCCCCCCCACACCCCGGCAGCCCCCACGCAACTTCGTGGGCCCCCTCCCCTCCTGACACCCCCCCAGCCAATCCTGCAACCACCCCCCAAACCCCCGCGGAACCCCCCCCCCCCCAAAAACCCCCTCCGCGGGCCCTTCCTTGCGAGGGCCCCCCCAGCAGCCCTGTCACCACTTCCAAACGCGTGCAGGCCCCCCTATACCCCCCCTCCCCCGCCCCGTCACCCCACTTCCAGCCCCGTGGGCCCCCTCCAAGCCCTGTCACCCACCCCCCAAACCCTCCACACCCCCCACCTCCCCGCGGGCCTCCCGGCCCCCCCCTCAGGCCCGAACCTCGCCAGCAGCCCGGCCAGCAGCGCGACGACGACGAGGCCGAGCAGCACGGCGGGCAGCGGCGGCGGCATGGCGGCCCCCGGCCCGGTGTGTGTCTCCCTCCTCCTCCTCCTCCTCCTCCTCCTCCTCCCGCCGCCGCCGACCGTGAGGGCCGCCCGCCCGCGCACCCGGAGTGGCGGCTGGGAGGGGCGGGGCCGAACGGCGCTTTCCCGGGGTGACCGGGCGCGGCAGCGCCCCGCCGGGGCCAGCGCCGGGACTGAGGGGGGCGACACACACGGGACACACATACCGGCACCCGGCGCCGGGATTGAGGCGGGGGGGGACACATATACCGGCACCGGGATGGGGGGGGGGGGGGCGACACACACATACCGGCACCGGGATTGGGGGGGGGGCGACACGCACATACCGGCACCGGGATGGGGGGGGGGGGGGGGGGCGACACGCACATACCGGCACCGGGATTGGGGGGGGGGGGGGGCGACACACACATACCGGCACCGGGATTGAGGGGGGGGGGCGACACGCACATACCGGCACCGGGATTGAGGGGGACACACACACACACATACCGGCACCGGGATTGGGGGGGGGGGGGGGGGCGACACACACATACCGGCACCGGGATTGAGGGGGGGGGGGCGACACGCACATACCGGCACCGGGATTGAGGGGGGGACACACACACACATACCGGCACCGGGATTGGGGGGGGGGGGGGGGCGACACACACATACCGGCACCGGGATTGAGGGGGGGGGGGGGCGACACACACATACCGGCACCGGGATTGAGGGAGGGAGGGCGACACAGACATACCGGCACCGGGATTGAGGTGGGGGGGGACACACATACCAGTACCCAGCGCCAGGATTAAGGGACACACACACACATACTGGCACCCAGCACCAGGATTGGGGTGGGGGGACACACACCACATACCGGCACCCAGCGCTGCTTATCCCCTCCACCCGCCTCCGCACAAACAGCCACACGCGTGGGGAGGATTCAGCTCTTTTATGGCTTCAGGTGAAGGGAGCAGTTTGGGGGTACAGTGGTGGGGAACGGGGGCACAGCTCCCACAGCCCTTTTTTTTTTTTTGAGGGGGGGGGTGGGGTGGGTGTCTTCAGATGGACAGGAGCATCAAGGGTAAGGGTGGGGAATTTGGGAAATCTGTTTTGGGTCAGGTCTGGACATTGGGCTCATCTTTGGGTCAGGGCTGGATGTTAGGCTTGAGTTTGGGTCAGGCCTGGACATGGGGCTTGGCTTTCTGCTGGATTTGGGATGTGGGGACCTGCTTTGTGCTGGATCTCAGATGTTGGGTTCTCCTTTGGGTCAGGTCTTCATGTTGGGTTCTACTTCACGTCAGATTTGGGACCCTGGGATCTGCTCTGTGTGGAATTCAGGACATTGGGATCTGCTTAGTGTTGGATTTAGGGCTCTGCTTCCTGGTGTGTCAGACCCCTGTGGGGACAAGGGCCATCCCCCAGGTCAAGAGGCCCTGAACACACTGCAGGACAGCACCCAGAGGCTCAGTGGCAGTCTGTCTGTCCATCACAACTCAGCGTGGTACTGCTCCGCTTTGAAGACCTCGTTGGGCTGCATGAAGATGCCCTCCATCACCTTCCAGTAATTATTCTGGCTGGAGGCGGCCATGCCGTGCACCTCCTTCTGCCCATGGATGGGCCGCCCGTACTGCTCCCCCGTCACCGAGAGGAAGACGTCGGTGGAGGCGTGCTGGAAGCGCACCTCGCTGTCCCTCGCCCAGTAGGTCCCACTGCACACCACTGTCCAGTCATCCAGGTAGTCGCCCTCCCCAGCCTCCCCAAATGCGCTCACCTCCTGCGGGTGAAAAAAAGCTCGTTTGGGGGCTGGGAGGAAAGAGGGGGGCTCGGGGGTGTTGAGGTGGGCCCAGAGGGCAAGAAGAGGGGGCACAGGAAAGGGGCTGGGCTTTTCGGGACAAGGAGGGATCTGGTTGGGACTTAGAGGGCCTGGTTGGGACTCAGGCGCTGGGGATGGGGGGGAATGGGGAGCAGGTAGGGACTGGGGAACAAGGTGGGACTGGTAGCGACCCAGTTGGGACCAGGAACCAAAGCAGCACTGGTAGGGACAGGGGTACCCTGCAGGAACTGGGGAACAAGGTGGGGCCAGTAGGGACACGGGGGATCTGGTCTGGACTGGGGAACAAGACAAAGCTGGTAGGGACATGAAGGACCCAGTCAGGACTGGGAGAAGCCAGCAGGGACCGGGCAGGGTGTGCAGGGAGAAAGCAGCAGGGACTGGGGAACAGGATGGGGCGGGCAGGGACCTGGTCTGGACTTAGGAACAAGGTGGGACTGGTAGGGACAAGAGGGAAGCCCAGTCGGGACTGGGAGGGCACAGAGAGAACCCGGTGGGGACTCGGGGCACCGGGCAGGGCCCGGGTGACAGAGAGGGCCCGGTTGTGCCCCCGCGCTGGTCGCGGGTGGGGAGGTCCCCGTCGCGGGGGGGTGGGTACCTGGTTTCCGGAGAGCGGGGAGGCAAAGCGGTGGCTGTGGAGGTTGCGGCCGGTGCCCAGGTGGGTGAGGCGGATGGCCTGCCCGCACCGCACCGGCGTGCCCCGCTCGCAGGCGGCCGCCGTGCGGCCCCGCACCCGCCAGTAGCTGTTCCCGTCGTCCGCCGCCGCCACCCCGGTCACCGACTGCTGCCCGCTGCCTGCGGAGGGGGGGGGGGGGGGAAGATCCGCGCTCAGGCCCGGCGGGCGCGGTGCCGGTGTGGGCGGGAAGGGGTGAGGGGGGTGTGTATGTCCCGTTACCGGATCCGTAGCGCACGTCGTGCGAGTGCAGGCGGACATTGTGCCGCACGTTGAGCAGCTTCACCACGGAGCCGCAGGTGACGGGCCCGGGGCCGGCGCGCACCGCCGTGCCCAGCACCAGCGCCAGCACCGGTACCGATACCTGCAACCGCCGCCCCGCCGCCATCCCGCCGCCGGAAGCGGAAGTGAAGCCGCTCCGCCCGCCCGGAGGTCGCCGCTCGGCTGCTCCGCCCTCCTTGTTCGCCGCTGCCGCCGCCGAGGCCTCCATTTTCCCTCGGCGCCTCGGGTAAGGCCGGGCTGGGGGCCGTGATGGTGCTGGGCGGGGATGAGCGGCCGGGGGAGCCCCGCAAGGCCCGTGTCGGGCTGTTACGCGCCGCGGTTGTGTGTGTGTGTGGGGGGGGGGGGGGGGGGGCTGTTTCCCGGGGAACGGCGGGGCCGCGGCGGCTCCGAGGCCTGAGGCTGGGCGGCTCCGGGCCTCGGTGAGGGCGGCAGGGACGTCCCGGTGCTCGGGGTCGGGGTGACCCGGGCTAGAAGGCGAAGCGGTGGGCAGGGGAGCCGCAGCCGGAGTGAGGGGGCTGCTTCCCCGGGGATGGGAGGGGACCCCCGCGGCACGGCCCGCCGGGGGCTGCGGGACGTCGCTGACACGGTGGGAGAAGGTGGCAGATGGGAGGGGGTGGACGTGGAGAGCGTCGGCCTGCTTCCCTGGAGGCGGGGGAAAAGGGCCTGACCTTTTTCCTCAGAGACGCTGGTGGTCTAAATCGATCTGTGCCACAGGTGGGATTCCTGGAGAGCCGTGTTTGGTTTTGCAAACTTCTGACAAGGTCTGCCGTGAAAAGCCGAGGGGCAGCAGCCCGAGAAGACCCTTTTGGGGGATTAGTAACTGACTAAAGGGTGGCATAAAAAGGTAGGGATGGATGACTGACGCTCACGGCGGAGTGAGGTCATTGTGGAGTTTCACAGTCATCTCTGCTGCTTTTTCTTACTGAATATGGTGATGTGGAGAAGGAAAATTTAATTCTAAATTATTTAGGATAGCTAAACTGGACTGTGGGAAGTTGCAGAGACCAGATAATAGCGAGTGGCTGTGTACTAGTGTGGTAAACAAGACATGACAGCAACGGGTGTAATGAAGGTAACAAACACTGCAGCAATAGACTCTACATCAGCTTTTACTATTCAGGAAAGAGCTGCTGGCGTCTCAGCAATTGTTTCTTTTAAAACACTGCTTCGACACCCCACTGTAGCCTAAAAAGGATATTTTGGAAGGAGCAGAGAACAAAGTAGAAAACATCATTATGCTGCTGCATAAATCACTGGTGGTTTGTGCCCTGGCTATCGCTGGCAGTTCTGGTTAGCCCGTCTCAAGAGGGGAGCACTGGAAAAGGTAGGGTCAGGAGTGGCGTGGATGAGCAGGTTTCTGGGCAAGTGAAGCCTTTGTTTCCTCACCTTAGGGGAGACGCTTGCTGACAGGAGATACAATGCAGGTGTGTGAAGTCGTAGGTCAGAGAAAGCGGGGAGGGGACATCAATTTTCTGTTTCTTACAGGAAATTATGATGCGGCAGGTCTAAAATAAACAAGCGGAAGTGCTTTTTCACACAACATGCTATTAAACTGTGGCACTCTGCCACAGGATGTTCCACCACCTGATAGTGTTAGGGAGCATTAGAACTAACGAAGCAGGTATGGGAAGTTCCTGAGCTGCAGTAGCTGGCTGGCTGGACTTTCCCTGTCACAGCGTCACTGGTCTCCAGTTGTCATTTCTCCCCTGAGCTCCTTTGCACGCCTACCACCGAGAAGGGTGAGAGTGTTTGGTTTAGGTCCTGCCTTTAGAAATTTGTAAAACAGCTATAAAAGCTAAATATAAAGCTATGTGTTGCTGATGCCATATCAGGGCTGGCAGACCCCAGTGCCAGTCGGCTGTGCAGAAGTACCTGCCCTTACCAAGGAATGGCTCTGAGGAGGAGCTCAGCACCAGTGAGGTGCCTGTGAGGGTAATGTGTTGCGGTAAGAGTGCCTTACAATGCTTCATGTGGATGCTTTTGTTAGGCTCATAAGCTTCAAATTAAAATATGCCAATATGATCTTATCTGAATTCTGTGGTGGGATGCAGCCCAAAGATCATTGCTTAGTGATTAGTGTTAAATGCACATGTTCTGGTTCAACCATGACTTTTTTTTTTTAAGAAAATATAAATTAATTTAATTTTGAGAGCTTCAGGGACTGGAACAGTTACCTTTGCAGTTCGTTTGGGTTTTTCCTAATGAGCCATTTGTTGTCACAGTCTTTTACTCCTGTGGATGTACTTGGGCCATGCTGAAATTAATTTCATGAGCATTTAATTGACAAGATGAATAGATTAGACTTTCTTAGGCTCTACGTTTTAATTGAGTCAAGTTTCCCAGCCTTCTTATTTTCACAGAGCTTTCTGAATCCCCTTCATTTTAACTTTTCTCTTTGAAGTGTAGACATGAGAAGTGAGCGAAACTGTTCACTGGAGGATTTGGCAATATGGTTCCCTGGATCTAAGTAATGTTAACTGGACTGTGAGTTGACCCATGAAATGGCAGAGATTAAAACAATCCCTGTCCAAACCTTCTCCACCCTAGAAAGAAAAAAATCCCCAAACCAATGTTAGAGTGAGTTAAGGCCTTGATGTAATTTCCCGCGCAAAGGATGGGGAGAAATCAAGAACTTGCTTCTCTCCAGCACCCATGCTGTAGTAAAACCTAAGTTAGCACTTGGTTTTGCTGTTTTGTGCATTGATACTGGTATTCTGAGGTTGACTGCTGAATAATAAATGTATCTCACTGTGAGGACACTCCTCGGTTGTTCTGTGAGCACTGCTGAGGTCTCATGCCTTAGTTGGCATCCCTGTGCCTGGAGATCGTGAGATGCTTCTGGTTTCCCTCATGCCACACCTGCTCAGGCTGTGGGTCACTGCTGTTCCCAATGCCAGCCTGCACACGGTTGTGTCCCTTGCCTTGCCAGAGTGCCACCCTAACTGGCAAGGTGCAGGAGCTTTTCCCTGTAACATTTGGTAGGGACTCGCAGCATAGTTCCATTTCTAAACCTAATGAGTTAAATTTTGCTGGCACGTGATGTACAAGGCTGGGTCTGCCTCCAGCACTGTGATGTTTCACAGTCTTAAGCAGCCAGCAGATATCTGGATGTGTGGCCAAGGCTTTACAGGTATCTGAATGTCTGATTTCGAGATTTATCAGTTCTGTCACAAAGCAGCACTTGTTCTAAAGGCACTGCCTCACCAAAGAGGGAGGCAGCCCACAGTCCCTGCAGCCGATGTCCAGCCTGGTCCTGCCAACCTGACTGGAGCTCTACGGTCTCGGTACTGACAGCGAAGAGAGCTATCTGCTCAGGGTCATCCCAGTTAAAAGGAGCTTGTGGACTCTGGACAGTTGCCATTGTGCCGAGCAAAGTGCGGATGCCCCTGGTAGAAAGCAGAGGTCATGTAGTTGCTCAGCCCCAAGCTGCTCTGGCGTCGCTGCCGAGCGGGAGAGGCCGTGCTCAACGTGGAGGTGCCTGCACTTCCCTCGCCTGCTGCCGCAGTGCCATTTCAGCGCTGCTTGCTGCATTGCCATTGTCTTTGGTGCATCTTGGTTGGTACCTAGTGGCCGTAGGGTATCTTTAAGGTAAAGCTATATGTATACCACCTACGGGAGCCTGTTTTCTTGTGTTATAGGTAAGCATGCAGGATTAGGCATGGTCTCCCTGCCTTTTTGGTGCTCTACTGCAATTTAATACTTGTTCCTGTGATGTAGCCTCCACCTGCACTGGCTGCAGTCTCTGCCTGCCTCCCTGTCCTGTTTTATTTCAAACTAAGGCCTCTCTGGCACAAAGGGTGGGAGAGGCACCTTTAGTCCATATCTGATTTAACATCATCTTGGTAATAGCTATGCTTGGTTCCATTTGCCATGCTAAGTGACATCCCTGCTGTCCTGAGGTGGATTTCACTGGAGCTGAGAACACCTGGATTTGTGAGTGGTTGGTTTGTGTGGAACCTGCTCGGCTGGATTGCTGAATGAGTTGGGCTTCCTAAATCCAAGGGTTCCCTGGGTCCAGACAAATTTGATTTGACATGAAATTACCAGGAAATGGTAGAACAAGTGATGAGGAAGGAAGTTGGAACTGCAAGCAAAATGCTTCACTGGCAGAGAATAGTAAAATTGTATGTGGTGCTATGATGAGGGGTTTTCTTTCTTGCTGGATTTATGTGTTGATTACAGACAGGAGAAAAATGAGGTTATCAGACTTGGAAATGCTCTAGGAAAAGCCACTTAGCCTGAGTTTTATGTGTGTTAATACACCCTGATGGATATGTGTAGGAGAAGAATTGGTGAGAGGGTGTAAAGTTGACATAAAAATTACACACAGACTGGTAAATATAACAATTCCTGTTCCTGTACTGTATGTAGTTACACAATCCAGCAGTGGCATTTGTTTCAGGAACATATTTAACCAACATCTGTACTGCCCTCTGACGCATTATTTCTGAGAGGGATGCTCAAGGACGGGGATCACCCCATGCCCACGCACCAAGCCAGAGCAGCGGTGTCCTCTCTGGGTGCAGAGCAGTAGCCTTGGCCCACTGCAATTTCTTCCTGTGTGGAACATCGTAGACAGATGTTGGCCATAGCTGTGTAATCCACAGCCAAGGAGTATAAGCTGCTATCTGCTTGTCTGAAATCTGGCAGAAGTCTTTTCCTTGTCTTTGTTGTGGGTTTTCTTTAATGACATATGCTGACATGTTCCTTTGGAGCTATTAGTATTTTAAGACCTAAAAGGTTATCCAAGATTGGTCTTGTACTTTGGGTTTTTTTCTTTAACTGAGAAATAAGTCCCTGGGTTTCTCTACACTGTTGTGTTTGTGCATTGGATGTGTGGATCTTGGGGCAGAAGAACTCCAGCGCAAGAGAATTGTTGTGCCAAAACCTTGATCAGGTTGTCCCATATGGGACTGATTTTCTTCAGCTGTTTGTTTGCAATAGGGAAATGATTATTGCAATGTTTTGAAGCACATTTGTTTAGGTATCGTTCCCTGCCATATGGAATTATTTTCTCATCTCTTTTTTTTTTTTTTTTTTTTTTTTTTTTTTAAGTTAAATTACATCAGATATAATTTAACATGGAGGTTTTAGCTTTAGATCCGATACCTCCTCTGAGCTTCTTTTTGTACCTTCAGAAAGGCTAGTTATTCTTCCTGGGCTGGCATTTTCATCTTCACAGCCATTTGAGGAATTGATTTGTTTTTTCTTATAGCTGACTTTTGTAAGTGTCTGTTGTTTTGGTGTATGTAAAAAGGAACTGAAAAAAAAAATCCTTCGAAAATTTTGAAAACGACAGCAAGTTTTGTAACCACAAGAAGTGGAAGGCTCAGAGAGACAGAACTTGAGCCATGTCTTTGTGGACAAACACTCGCCTTTGTGCCAAGCTTGATTTATACTGCTTCCAGAAACCCCAGTTGGGGAAAAACATCAAAGGAAAGGTTCTGGATGTAGAAAACACCCTATTTCTGTAGTCTTTAGTTACTTCATAATCTCTGGACAGAGGCCCCTGGCCTGGAACACCGTGGCCACGGCTCTGGCTGCGTGGGGCACTGGAGTTGAGCAGCTGGCAGCCCCCAGCCCCGACCCTGTAGCACCCCCCAGGCCTCTCCCATTTGCTCCGTGGGGCTCCGCAGAGCTTTGCTAACAGCCTGAAGTTGCAGCTCAGTCAAGGCCCTTTCGGGGTAGACCTGGCTTCATTAACTGAGTGAGAATTAACCATATTAAGATCCTAATGGGTTGGACTGTGTGCCTAACACTGTTCAGTGTCAGTGGCAGCATGGGGTTGCTTTTCTGGCTGCATGGGAGGGTATGGACGGGGTGAAGGGCTTTGGCTGCGTGAGCCGTTTCAGCCGCAGCCAGGAGCTCAGCTGTGTAACAAATGCTGCTGCGACAGGTCCTGTCCTGCTCGCTGAGACACGGGTTGACAGGAGCTAGCAGCACTTGGCTGCTGGCTTCTCTTGCCTGATCTCTAGTGACAGGGATGTCCAGGCAAGGTGGACACTGGGTAATTCAGGGCTTTGATAGATAATTTGAAACCCTCTTGCCTTAGCTGTCTTCTCTCCAAAACCCGGTAAGGAGAAGTGCTTGTGTTTTCCTCACTCACCCAATGGGATGGATGTCTCTTCTTTCCCCAGTTCCCGTGGAGCCGTGTGTGAGACGCTGCAGCCATGTCTGACTTTGTAGAAAGTGAAGCAGAGGAGTCAGAGGAGGAGTACAACCAGGATGGGGAGGTTGTGCCCAGAGTAACCAAGAAGTTTGTAGAGGAAGATGAGGATGGTGAGTGTGCCTGTCTGTTCTGAGTTTGCCGAATTGTCTGTGTGCCTCACTGCTCTATTTTACATCCCGTGACTCCGCAGATGGAGGAATAACTGTGCTATAATAGCACGGCCATCTGTAGTCGATAATCTCAGCTGTTTAAGTGCTTCCTTTCCTCAAAGTGCTTAGGTGGATTTTATATTTGGCAATAGAAAATACACTGCTTCACCCTCATGGGGCTTACAGTCACACAATTTGATAGTAAACAGTAAAAGCAGAGGAATTCTCCCAGTGTGACCACTCCACCTGTTCCCTCTGCAGAGAGAGCATGAGACCGTGAGACATGAAGTGGGCTTCTGGCACAAGCAGCTGGCAGGGTTCTGTGCCAGTAAAAATGTTCAGTGAAAACTCGCTGTGGGGATAGTGTGAAGGAAGATGATGTTTGCAAAGTTCTGAGGAGGAATCTCAGCAGATATCAATGAGTAAATATCTAACACTTGCTGATCCCCACCCCAGATGAGGAAGAGGAGGAGATAAATCTTGATGATCAAGATGAGCAGGGGAACCTGAAAGGATTCATTAATGATGATGATGATGAGGAAGAGGAGGAGGAAGCCAGTGACTCTGGAGACTCTGAGGACGATGTTGGCCACAAAAAGAGAAAGCGCAGTAAGTTTGATGACGATTGTTCACAGCAGGCTACAGCGTCATGCTCTCACTGCCTTGCCAGAGAGCAGAGCTCTCCCTCTGCCCTGGGTGCCTGCATGGGCTGGGGAAGCTATGCCCTTCTCACCGGTTGGTCCATTCCTGGATTAGTAAATGGAGAGTGTAACTCGTCTCTGCTTTCTTCCCTTAGCTTTTGATGACCGCCTGGAGGATGATGATTTTGACCTCATTGAAGAGAACTTGGGCGTTAAAGTCAAAAGGGTGAGTTGTGTTCCCATGCTGCTGTTAATGGTGTGGTGCATCCTAGGAGCCCACCCTCCTTTGTGCTGCCTGGAGTGAGTGAGTGGTGCCTCCCACCTGCTCCTGCCCTCTTGGAAAGGGAGAGCCTAATCTTGTGCTTGAAGGAAGCAGGATCTCTCCCTGCCCAGGCAACGGGGAGCTGGCTTCCTAGTTTGCAGAACACTTTCTTCTGGTTCCTAAAGTCTGCTGTACTCCTCCCTTCCCAGCTCTGCAAAACAGTCTCAGAGGCGCCCATCTTCCCATAACTTTCTGCTGCATGGTGCTAACCTCAGAGTGAGCGCAGGCTGTTAGGGGCTCTAAAGCTCCTTCCATGACACTCTCTAGAAGCCCATCAAACCCGGCCAGCACTGGTGGTGACAGCGTGGAAGCGATGCAAGCCTGGAAAGGCGGTTACGCTTTGTCCACGCTGTGCCCAGTGAGCCCCTGCAGCACGGCTCCCGAGGGGGTGGCTCTTCTCCCCGTGCGCCTGGGCTGGGCTGGGCTCCATCCTGCTCCCTCTCGGGTGCCTGCAGAGGAAGTGCAGTTCTGGACTGGCAGAGACCACACTGAGCTTGAGTGTCTGTGCCAGGAATTATGTGCACTAACAAGCCTGTCTGCTTGCAGCAAAAATTTAGGCGTGTGCGAAAAATGTCCGATGATGAGGATGATGAGGAAGAAGACTATGGAAAGGAAGAGCATGAGAAGGAAGCCATTGCTGAAGAAATCTTTCAGGATGGCGAAGGCGAGGAAGGAGGGGAAGCTGTTGAAGCTCCCGTTGCTCCACCAGAAGAGGAAGAGGAGGAAGAGGAAGATGAATCTGGTGAGTATGGATGGTCAATTACATCCAAAGTTTGCCCAAGGATTAAAGCACAGGAACCAAGTTAAGACTTTCTCTGAGCTAGAAATAAACAAAGGCTGCAGCCCTGTCATGGTAAAAGTCTTGCTGGTCTGATTAGCACAATCCTTAGAATTAAACGTTTCTGGGTGGCAGCTTTGGTTTGTCTGTCTAAACTGCTTTGTCCAGAAGCACGTTACATGTGCTGAGGTGTTGAACATTTCCTCTAAGCTGCCTCTAAAATGGAAATGCTTCAAAGGAAGGAAGTCAAGGCACTGTTTAGTACCCACTAGTACAGTGCATCCCTGCCCTGCTTCTCTTCAGCACCAGCCTGTCACCACTGCTAGTACCGTACTGAAAGAGCTTCAAGAATTCTTTCTGTCCCCTGTCCAAAGCAGCAAGACCTTTTCTGACTGCATTTTCAGTGCACTGAGCTGCAGATAATTGCCACATGGTTCTGCCTGTGTTTGGAAGTTTGTTCTAGCTTGTTATTGTGGTTCAGACTCTTGGAATGTCTGAGATTGGTGTAGGAGATGCTGTGGGTAGCTGGGCAGACTGACAGCCAGCGGCTGCACAAGTCTGTGGTGGAGGCTTATAGTTACACTGGCTGAGCTGAGCTTTTTCAGAGGTACCAGTTGAATATGCAAATGTACTGACCACTAAATTGCTCCTCAATGTCCAGACATTGATGACTTCATTGTGGATGACGATGGACAACCTCTGAAGAAGCCAAAATGGCGAAAGAAGCTCCCTGGATACACAGATGCGTAAGTATTGATTGGAAATTGGCCTGGAGCCTCGCAAACAGTCCTCAGCTTGATTCTTGCAACTGCAGAGTGATTCAGCTTGTGGTTGGATACCGCTGGTCTCTTCCCCCAAAGGAATCTGGTAAATTTAAACACGGGGCTTCTAGTCTGTGATTTATTAGAAGTCTGACTCCTTCCTTTCTCTCCTGGATTTTTTTACAGGGATAGCAAAACCAGTCCCTTAAGAGAAGCATTTGAATGTAGAGCTCAGAGTTGTGTTACCTATCCATGAATTTTTAGCCTATGTGCAAAACTAAAGCTTAGACTTAGGTGCTCTGGCCTCCTCTCTGTGGCTAGACAGATGTTCTGTGAACTGCACCGTGGGGCTGAGCAGTAGTGTTTGCCTTCCAGTGCCTTGCAGGAAGCCCAGGAAATCTTTGGTGTGGACTTTGACTATGATGAGTTTGAGAAGTACAATGAGTACGATGAGGAGATGGAGGAGGAATACGAATATGAGGATGAAGAAGCCGAAGGGGAGACCCGTGTACGACCCAAAAAGACTGCCAAGAAGCGCGTCAGTCGGCGTAGCATCTTTGAGATGTACGAGCCCAGTGAGCTGGAGAGCAGTCACCTAACGGACCAGGACAACGAGATCCGCATGACAGACATGCCTGAGAGGTTCCAGGTGAGGGAAGAGGGGCAGGTGTGCAGGCAGAAAACATTTCAGCTCCCCCTGAGTACAGCAGGCCTGGGACCTGCAGGCCAGCTTTCTCACCTGGCTGCTGGCTGGATTTTGGCATCTTTTTGTCCCTCTTTGAAGATCCCACCCATCAAATGCATGGGCTAAAACTCTGCATTCAGATGTATCAGTGACATTGTGAACTGTGCTGGCTGTGCAAGCCGTTTTAGCACTGGCCATAGTTTCTCTTTGGCCACTGGGTGCCAGTGTTGCACTCCTGGGAGCGGTGCAGGTGCTCTGCTGAGATATCCTTCGTGCAGGATGCTGTTAATAATCCCATGAGTTGTGTCTGTGGATAGTAAGGGTGGAGCTGCAGTCCTGGAGAAGGTTTGCTAGGGTTTTCTAGCCTACCTCTATGCCAGCCAACACGTAACTGTTCTGTGCCAGATATTTCTGTAACACACTTTAATCCAAGTGATTGCGATTTATACTGCTCTCAATATGGAGTCCTGCTTGTTTTGCTAGGAATCATTCTGGTGTCTCATATTTTTGTCTCGATTTTACCCTGTAATCAGGTGTTCCCTGAACAGTCCATGTTCCTCAATCTCACTTAAGCGTATGTTAATGTCATTCTGTGCAGAGGCTTGTTACCCTCCGTTGTAAAATGGGATGTCTGAAGCTGCCAGCTTCTCAGAAGGACCTTTTTTCCCATGCCAGTGTGCACAGCACTAGGGAACGCTCTGTCTAATGTCTTCTGGCCATATGTGCCCCGTTCAGACATTTTGTCATCTTCATGGATGTCAGTGATGATTAGAGCTGGCCTTCTGAAAGAGAATTGGTTGGGACTAAATTCCCAGAGAGGGTTTGGGGCTGCTTTATGTTCTGTTATTTTATGGATGCATCAAGAAGAGTGGTAACAAGGCTAGAACAGGCATAGATAGGTGGGAACAGAGGATGTAGCTGCAGAGGGTTTGGGAGTCTGGTAGGAAGTGGGGGTACCCTGTCTTGATCATCACAGAAGATTTTGCACAATTGCAGGCCTTTCCAGAAGCCTTTGACACAATTGTTAGCTGCCTTTACCTAATGTAAAGCTGATGCAGGTTTCCTGTGTGCTCAGAAGATGCAGACATTGAAGTGCTATCCTCAGCAAAGCCCTGTGGGCATGGGAGGTATCAAGACCCCCCATAATCAACCTGCAGCTCAAAACTATTATTTCCAGGCTTCTCGAAGACATGGTAGCGCAAGCCCTGGTGTTTCACATGCTTCTGCTCATCCTGTTGTCTTTTCACAGCTGCGATCCATCCCGGTGAAGAGTGCTGAAGATGATGAGCTGGAGGAGGAAGCTGACTGGATTTACAGGAATGCTTTTGCAACACCCACCATCTCCTTGCAGGTAAAGGACTGTGCCTGGAACTTCTGTCCTAAGAGACCTTGAAGGTGCTGCAGATTTCCAGCCTGGAGACATTGTTCCAAGAGTCTGCTTAGAGGAATGTGATGCCCAATATACCTTTCGTTCTGGTTTTGAGCAGGCCATTTAACATGCACATATCTTCATTTGCGCATCCATAAAACAAAAAAAAAGGAACACAGAGAAGTTGCAAGAATAATTGTCAAGAATGATTGAAAGATCTCTGAGTCACTGTGCACTAAACTAGTACTAGCCATCATCTGCTTTTAACCATCACTTTGCCCAGGTGCTGCTTCTCCATTTTTGTTTAAGCCAGTCAGGGCTAGGATGCTTTTCTGTGGTCTAAAATCAGAGCATGTACCCAAGCCTGCATTCCCAGCTAACAAAAGGACCACTGCTTTCCAGCCTTAGCCTGGGCTGGTTTTTTAGGGCATCAGCTCAGGAACACAACACAATGTGTTTCGCCCTTTTAGGAAAGTTCTGACTACCTCGACCGTGGACAGGCCAGCAGCAGCTTCAGCCGCAAAGGGCCCAGCACCATCCAGAAGATTAAAGAAGCTCTGAATTTCATGAGAAATCAACATTTTGAGGTAATTCACAACTCAGCTTCGTTGCCAAGTATAAGGTCTGAGTTGCTGTCTCCTTACCCAGGCAGGATTAGCAGAGGGGCTGCTTGGAAGCATTTAGGACAGCAAACTAGAAGGGGCTGAGATACCATACCTAGTTGCCTCTCCTGTGACAAAATGATGCGTCATTGGAAAATGCAGCTCATCTTATGTGAGCTGTAGCCACACAAGTTTCTAAGGCCTGTTTGATGGGGCTGTTATCGTATTTCCCCAGTCCTGGACAAATTGATGCTGAATGAGATGGAGGAATTTCAGTCTATCCTGAGCCTTGCTTGGTCCATTCAACCTATTCTCTGAGGTGTTGCCTGATGTTGCAGAAGCTCTTTGGTTTATGTGATGTATTCTTTGGTGGAATGATCTCAAGAGCTGGGGCATGGCTTGGTACCTCTCCCACACTGCTGCCCCATTAACTTGTTCTCCCACATGGGAACAGGAGCATTCTCTGGACTCCACGCTGCCAGGAACAGCCCTGTCTCCTGCTTGGTGGTGATGAGTCTCTTTTCTGACACAGGTCCCGTTCATTGCCTTCTACAGAAAGGAGTATGTGGAGCCAGAGCTGCACATCAATGACCTGTGGAGGGTCTGGCAGTGGGATGAGAAGGTGAGGAGTGTTTTCACCGCTTGTTGTCCTGCCAACATTTAACATGTCTTTCCACCTAGCCTGGTGCTTTCAGCAGGTTTTGTTTTGGCCATAGAGAACTTGCGTGCTTTTTTTACCTGTGTTTTTTCTGCATGTTTGCTATCATGTGGTATTAAAGAGTTATCTGACAAAAGAGGATTCAAAACAAACCTTCCCCTATACCGACTTCATTTTGTGTAGTGACCTTTCCTGGAAGGAGTGCAGGTTCCTTCTCTGCTACCAGGTAGATACCATCTCTGATTAATCCATCTCTGAGATGAGACATGTCACATCTAGGCTTGGGTGTGAATAAAGATTTTTATGATTATTTTTGCATGACAAATATCACAAGATCCTAGGAGCTCTTGTTTGGGAAGGGAGGAGACAGATGTGACACACAGCTATGGTGCATTTCACTGGAAATCTCTGTACTCATATTAGTGGACCCAGCTGAAGATCCGCAAGCAGAACCTGACGCGTCTGTTTGAGAAGATGCAGGCTTATCAGTATGAACAAATCTCTGCTGACCCAGACAAGCCCTTGGCAGATGGAATAAGGGCCCTGGATACTACTGACATGGAGAGGTACGGTGCCATGACTTTCTTATATTTGTTCCAAAATGACTTAAAATGTGCTTTAACTTGTGTAAACAGCACAGGCTCTCTGGCCACTGCAGTACATTGACCTTAGGCTCCTCACAAAGCCAGTAATGAGAAATATTTTAAACTCTCTTGGAAGATGAATCCAAGTGCTCCTTCTGCCTGACCTGTACCAGAGCAGATTCCTTGTGTGCTCTGGCCACAGCTCAACTGCAAGCAGAGTGTAACGTGGTGGCTTTGCATGCCGTAGGCTGAAGGACGTGCAGTCCATGGACGAGCTGAAGGATGTGTATAATCACTTCCTGCTGTACTATGGGCGAGACATCCCCAAGATGCAGAATGCTGCCAAGGCCGCTCGAAAGAAGCAAAAGCGTATCCGAGAGGATGGTGAAGAGGAAGAAGGTTTGTCCCCAGATTTGATAGTCTGATTGTAGGCTGGTTGAAAATCCTGGTTCAAAAGAATAGTAAGGAAGTTTGTTGAAATGCCTATGTGTTTGCACAGGGCATCTCTGCTGTTCACTGCTATCTTAGGTTAGTCCCGGGTCTTTCAGGCACCTCTGAAAACTTTCAGAGTTTGCCACACAAGGTGCTGCTTTCCAATGGACTGAATATCAGCCCTCATGGCAGGGGCCAAAGCAAGAATCAGCCACCTTGATGTGTGTTTTAGTGTGCAACCCAGAGATACTGATATTAAAACTGCAAGAGACTGAAGAGAAGATAGCATTTTCAGGGTGTTTTTCTAACCTTGAATAATTTTAAGGCTACTGTGACCTTTGAGATATGTTTGTGGAGTTTAGGGACTCTGCACAGTCTAGGTTGTGTTTAATCCCCTTGCTGTGCTTCTGACACAGAGCAGCTGTCTGGATGCCTCTGTAAAGAGGCCTTGCTAAACATATCCTTCCCATAGGTGAAGGGGAAGATGCAGAAGATGATGAGCAGAAAGGGCCTGAGCTGAAGCAGGCTTCCCGTCGGGATATGTACACCATCTGTCAAACAGCTGGGCTGGGTAAGCACTGTGCTCTGTCATGCTGAGCTTGCAGTGGCCTAGCCCGCACGCGCTTCTGAGTGCTGTGGCTTGCCTGTGGACAGAGGACTGATAGTTTTGACCAGTATGAGCTACAGTACCCTTGTCCTCATTGGTTTTGTGTGGTTTGGTTTTTTTTTTTTTTTTTTTAACCAGATGGCCTGGCTAAGAAGTTTGGTCTGACACCTGAGCAGTTTGGAGAGAATCTCCGAGACAGTTACCAGCGTCATGAGACGGAGCAGTTCCCCGCAGAGCCCCTGGAGCTGGCCAAGGATTATGTGTGTAGGTCAGTGCAGGGGGGGATCTTTGTGGAGGTCCTGTGGACGTGACACAAAGGAAGGGATCTGGGGACATCCTCAAATCCTAAGCCTTTGTGTTGCCTTTTTGCTTTTAGTCAATTCCCAAGCCCTGAAGCTGTGCTGGAAGGAGCCCGGTACATGGTGGCTTTGCAGATAGCCAGGGAGCCTTTGGTCAGGCAGGTTCTGAGACAGACTTTCCAAGAAAGAGCTAAAATCAACATTTCACCAACCAAAAAGGGGAAGAAGGTAAGGAAGGGAGCTCTGACTCTGTGGGTCAATTCAGAGAAGGATCTAAGTAACATACAGATGCTCATTTTTGCATCTGAAAGCTTCTTCCATGTCAGTGGCAACTCTGAATAAATCAGAGCAGCATGTGAGCTAGGCTGTTGCAGAGGCCAGCTCAGCAGCATGCTGCATTTTTAGTCTCAGCATTTCATCAGACCTGATTCTTGCTGATGAGATGTTGCCTCCAATTATTGAAAAAAAATCTCTGTTTCTCTGGGACTGGGAACAAATTCCACTGTGTCCTGCTGGGGAAGGAAATGCAGACTGGCAGGCATAGGAGTGAGGGGATATTGAATAAAAACCATTGTCTGCTATGGTAAACAGAAGGGTCTTTCTTCATGAATGCCCTGTATGCAAGCTGACTGTCTATCTTCTCTCGCAGGATATTGATGAAGCTCACTATGCCTATTCCTTTAAATACTTGAAGAACAAGCCTGTGAAGGAGCTGCGAGATGACCAGTTCCTGAAAATGAGCCTGGCAGAAGACGAGGCACTGCTCACTATAGATATCAGCATTGACATGAAAGGAGTGGAGGGGTGAGTCCTCACTGGCTGTGCCATCCATGCCTTGGCAGAGCTCATTCATCTGGTGCTGCTGTGCTGTTAGAGCTCCTCTGTAATCCAAACTACTCCTGGAAGTCACAGCCTGGTGGTTTCCTGCACGTTACAGTCAAGCAGCCTCTCATGGTCTTGCTTTTTTCTTCATCTTAGTGAAAACTTCAGCAGACAGATGTCTTATTCATTTGAAAGCAAACTCTGAACCTTTAGGATTTTTGTGAAAGATGATGCTTGTTTCCCAAGCCACCCTCACTGTGTGTTCCTTGGTTCCTACCCTGCATGTCTGTGTAGCCACACTGTGCAATATGGGTGGAGTGGCTGTGGGCTGCCCCGGGTTGCACTGCTCAGGCCTCTCTGTGCTGCCAGCACGGCGTTCAGCTGCGGCCTGTCTAGCAGCATGGCTTTTGCAGCTCAAGGAGTGTTGGAGGGGAGGACTGGCTCTTCTCTAAATTTTCCAGGCAGCTCCCTGAATCTGAGGTGCTGCTAGCACATCCCTGTGCCAGAATCTGCTGGTGGTGGTGTCAGTGCAGGCGTCTGGAACCCTTCTGTATCTCCTCCTCTCATTTCTTGCAGTTATGGTAGTGACCAGACATACTTTGAGGAAATCAAACAGTTCTATTATCGGGATGAGTTCAGCCACCAGGTGCAGGAGTGGAATCGGCAGCGTACGATGGCCATTGAGCGGTCCCTCAACCAATTCCTCTACGTGCAGATGGCTAAAGAGTTGAAGAACAAGCTGTTGGTGGAGGCCAAGGAGTATGTCCTCAAGGTGAGATGGGGGACAGGTGGGTTTGAGTCAGAGCTGGGCTTACAAGCGCGAACAGTCCTGCAGCATGCTGGGGAGAGCAGGCTCTTGGGAAGGAGGAGGGGGGCAGGGATCTGAGTTTGGTTCTTTCCCAAGGGTGGAGAGAAAAGAGGATATCTCATTAGGTGGGAAGATGAGCTCCATGGTACTGGAGAGCTGGTACCAATCCTGGCGGATTATACTATCTTGCTGCCTCGAGCACTCCACAACCTTCCCTCCAGAGGAAGGCTATGCCAGAGCACAGGCAGGGGATTTTCTCACTCCTCTCTCCCCTTCTCTGTTCTACCAGTCTTGCAGCCGGAAACTGTACAACTGGCTGAAAGTAGCTTCATACCGTCCTGATCAGCAGGTGGAGGAAGATGATGATTTCATGGATGAAAACCAAGGGAAGGGGATTCGGGTATTAGGCATTGCATTTTCCTCAGCCAGGTAGGAGGAAAGGAATTGCTTCTCGATCCGTGTACAGCTTTAGCAGTCCTCCATGTCTGAGTGATCCCTGTTTTTCAGGGACCACCCCGTGTTTTGTGCCCTTGTTAATGGAGAAGGTGAGGTTACAGACTTCCTCCGATTACCGCATTTCACAAAGAGGAGAAACGCCTGGCGTGAGGAAGAGAGGGAAAAGAAGGTGAGCCTTAGTGCAGGTATTGTCAAGATGAATGTCTGCATGTTGCTTTTGGTACCATGCGATCCGCTGTGGACTGGAGAGAAATAGTTTGAAGACAGTGCAGGCCTTGTCACTCTGGCATGCAAGAATACTGCCTTTTTCGCACCCTGTAATTATTCTGGCAGACCAGTTGCTTTCAGGTAGATTCCAGTTCATCTCTTATGCTCCTCTTACGGGGAGTGGCAGGGCCTTACCATTCCTGAGTGCTGCTTGGGGGTTTGTGAGCTGCTGTGGTCACAGCTACAGAAATGTTCTCTCCTTCTCCTGATCACGTTATAATAGCAAGAGGCTGTGGGACCTACTGGGACTTGAGGCAGGCTTTTGACTTCCATTCCTTACTTGCACTGATTTCCTGTAACACCAGAGCATGATGCCATCAGTCTTTCCTCTGCAGAGCTTTCTTCTTTGTCCTTACAGTGGTCAGGAGCTGCAAGGCCACTCTGTGGAAAAGACATTCGTGTCAGTGGGGGAGGATTTGCCCTGTGAAATGTAAACCCAAGACTGGTAGCTAGCTCAGTACAGAAACCTGCTAGCTTTTCTACTCTGACCTGTCTCACTTTCTTTTCCAGGCCCAGGATATTGAAACCTTGAAGAAATTCCTCCTGAACAAGAAGCCTCACGTGGTGACAATTGCGGGTGAGAACAGGTCAGTCTTTGTGTTCCTTCCACTCCCCAGTCTCTTTGCAGTCCTTTTCTCATTCCTGTCCACATTTTACTGTTTCTGTCCGTGGTGTGAGGTAACATGTTGGAGTTATCTCCCTAAGTGGTTCCAGGACCCAGCCTTGTGCTCTCCCTTCAATTCCCTTGGCTGTCTCACTCTAGGGATGCTCAGATGCTGATGGAGGATGTAAAGAGGATTGTTCATGAGCTGGATCAAGGGCAGCAGCTGTCCTCTATCGGAGTGGAGCTGGTGGACAATGAACTGGCCATTCTCTACATGAACAGCAAGAAATCTGAGGTGAACCTTCTGTTATTCCAGCTGTCCTTTAGTCTGTTGCTCATCTATGCTGTCTCATCCTCCATTTGTTGTGCTGCTCCTGTCTTGTGTCATCCACTGCCTCATGTGATCCATCTAGACAGTGATGTACTGATCTTTAGATCAAGGCAAAACCTCTTATTTAGTCTTCCCTGAAGAGATCAGCACCAACAGATGTACAAAGTAGATATTGATTTAGTCTGAAATGAATCCTGCTCAGCTGAGTGGATGAGGTTGTTTCATTCCTAATTGCAGCAGAGCTCCTGAGAGCCTTTGACTTCAGCTCTCTTGCCCCTGAGCACCAGATAATTCCTTTGTTCCAACCCCTATCTGATGTGCTGCTTGTGCTACAAAGTGTGAAAAGGCTTTCTCTGCTTCTCTGGCCTCTTCCAGAATGAGTTCCGGGATTACCCACCTCTGCTGCGTCAAGCCGTCTCCCTTGCTCGCCGCATTCAGGACCCCCTGATAGAGTTTGCCCAGGTCTGCAGCTCCGATGAGGATATTCTCTGCCTGAAACTCCACCCTCTGCAGGTAACTTTTCCTTGTGAGATCTGTGGGCAAGGAAGATCCCTCTCTGCAAGAGAAAGTGGCCTGGGAGGTCTGGGAGAGTTTGCTGACAAAGAGAAGTATTCCAAGTTGAACTGGTGCAAGTTCTGCCTGTTCTCTGCCATATTCAGGGTACATGGCAACTTTTTTTTTTTGCCTTCATTAGCTCATCTGCCTCCTTGCATTTAGGCTGTTCTCAGGGGTGACTCTCAGGTGCAGGACAGCTCTTGAGAGCCAGTGTGTTGCGTTTGGCTCAGCTTGCTTATGGCAAAGTGTTGCAGGCATCTTCATGCAAGGCTAATGCCTCTCCTTTTTGTCAGGAACACGTGGTGAAGGAGGAGCTGCTGAATGCGCTCTACTGCGAATTCATAAACCGTGTGAATGAGGTGGGAGTGGATGTCAATCGGGCGATTGCTCACCCTCACAGCCAAGCTTTGCTGCAGTATGTGTGTGGCCTGGGACCACGCAAAGGCACTCATCTGCTAAAGGTAAGGAGGCTTCTGTCCCTGCTCAGGAAAACAATGCACCACCAGTAATGTGCGAGTTGGCCTGATGGCAGTGCTGTTAGGAGATGAGTCAGGGTCCTGTGTGCCAGATGCAGCTGACAGCTCTGTTGACATGTGTTTTAGTATGTGTTATCTCACTGCACCTAACCCCAAAGCTGTGCATGGACTTACGTCCTTGATAGACCCAGGCAACTCAGCAGATCTGTCAATCCTAGCTAGCTCCTGAACCCTCAGGAACGGATGCGCTGTTACGGTACCAAGACGCCTCCATACTGTAGAAAACACAAGGCAAAAAGCCAACGCTTTTCCTGAGAGTTGGAGCTGTTCCATGTGGAGTCATCTTCTTTCAGATAATGTTGAGACACAGGCAGGGGACAAAAACTTGCAAGTTGTGATAGGCTTGATTATGTGAGATGCTTTGAACACTGCAGTGTCCTTTGTGAGTCCTCTGCTTTTCCTGGAGAACCCTTGTGTTTGAATAGCAAGGTTTATACTCCTCCCTCTCTCTCCAGATCTTAAAACAAAACAACACACGTCTGGAGAACAGGACCCAGCTAGTTACGATGTGTCACATGGGACCCAAGGTGTTTATCAACTGTGCTGGCTTCATCAAAATTGACACGGCATCGCTGGGCGATAGGTGGGTATTGGGCTGCATCCGGTGTTGTACGGGGTGTGGAGTTAACAGGGGCAACAGGCTGAAGCAATCTTGTTCTGTGGAGTCCACGTTCCCAGGAGTTTCTATGTGGGCCCTCTGATTACTGGCCAAGTTCAGCTATTGTTGGTTATTAATCTGATTCTTAAGGGCAGCTAAACTTGCACAGCAATATGAGCTGCAGAACATTAATTATATAGCTTGCTGTGGTTTGAAAGACCCTTTGTGGTCAAGAGGAACTAAACTGAAAACAGTTGTTCCCTAACATGGTCATCGTGCATGTCCGTCAGTAACGCGTGTGCAATTCTGCTTAGTTTCTGCCTTGTCCTACCATCAGTATTTCATTTTTCTTAAGTTTCAAACTTGAGGCGTAACTTGGCGATTTAGCTTCCTCTTAAACTAATAGCAATACTGGAAAGTTTGTAAAGCGTGAGGTGATTGGTAACTAAACAAGAGATGTGTATTTGGATGACAGCAGTAATCAAGTTTCTAAATCTCTGACTGCCTTGCACAGAAGGGTCACTTGTTGGAAACGCGGTTCCTCTAGGGCTGGCACAGTAGGCTTTTTGCCTTTGTAAAGCAATCTGAGAAAGGACGCCTGGCTGAATCTTTACACCAAGTGATCCAACCCCACTAGGTCCCTGGTTCTTGCAGGATACAAGTCCCAGAGACATAGGTGGCAGAGCGTAGCCTCATTCAAACAGCTAGGTGCAGATGGCGGCCCTGCCAGTTGGCAACGCTTAGTTTGTGTGAGGAGAGAAACTGTAGAGAGCTGCGTGCTCGTAGAGTAGCTGTAGTACACAGAATGATCAAATCTACCTAGCATCCAAAATGCCTGGCTGTTTCCTTGCAATACAAGAGCTGCAGACTAGAATTTGTCATGTCTTGCCTTGGCTGCTATTGATTTAGCAATGAAGAGTTCATTGTGTCCTTTTTGGGGTAGTTTGTTCCATGGAGTGCCGCGGTGGCAAAGCAGCCACGCAGCTAGTAATGGTGCTCAGCAATGTGCTTTATTATTGAGCTGAAGGAGGTGACCCTGGAACTCTGCACGGTCCTTATCTGAACGTTGCTTTGGTTTTATTTCAGTACTGATTCCTACATCGAAGTCCTAGATGGGTCTAGGGTCCATCCTGAAACCTATGAATGGGCAAGGAAAATGGCAGTGGATGCCTTAGAATACGATGAGTCGGCAGAGGACGCTAATCCCGCAGGAGCTCTGGAGGAGATCTTGGAAAATCCTGAGCGTCTGAAAGACCTGGATCTTGATGCCTTTGCTGAAGAACTGGAAAGACAGGTGCACGGGGGTTCCTGGTACTGAGAAACAGAGGGGAAGCTCTGCTGTCCAGCTCAGTTTCTTATGTTTTATAGCTGGTGACTCTTATCCTTTTTAGGAGCTGAGCATTTAGGTGTTGCCATTGTAAAATGTATAAACAGCCATGATGAGTATTCAGTGTCTGACAATGGCATGTAGTAAATGCTTGCAGAAAGTACACTTGGGGCAGAGGGAGGGAAGGAGGCAGGAGAAAATAATGAGATAATTTCAGGGAGAACAGCTTAGGTTGTCTAACTTTTTTCTGAATGTAATGGTACTGTCGACTCCTTCAACATCCTGTGACTGAATTTCACAGTTTGATGGTACCCTGTGCATTCCTCTTTTTAAAAGTTGCTGTTTGATAAGTTCCGTGAGTTATTTCGTAACTTATACCGGATTCCCTACTCGCCTCCTTCCTGCTGCTCATGGCTTTATAACCTTTGAATACCACACAGGGCTACGGTGACAAGCATATCACTTTATATGACATTCGAGCTGAACTAAGCTGCAGGTACAAAGACCTGAGAACTCCATACCGTTCTCCAAACACAGAAGAGGTCTTCAATATGCTGACCAAAGAAACTCCAGAGACTTTTTATATAGGTACATCCCTGTTTTCTGTCATTCTAAGTTGACTTAGGATGTGTGAAGGTGGAGCAGAGGAATCTTGGGGAAAATGATGTTGAGACTGTGCTATAGTTGCATGTATGTGAAGCAGCATTTCAAGTACCTGGGTAGTCTCCTAGCACTTTCATGCACAGCTACCTTAGATCGAGGGAACTGCCCAGCTCTGCAGTTGACTTTCAGTTTTTTATTTTTTCTTTCTCCTCTCCCATCACTCTACAGGTAAAATGGTCATCTGCAACGTGACTGGGATAGCCCACAGGCGACCGCAAGGAGAAAGCTATGACCAGGCAATACGGAATGATGAAACTGGCCTTTGGCAGTGTCCTTTCTGTCAGCAGGATAACTTTCCAGAGCTCAGCGAGGTGGGGCTGCTTCTCCTAATGGGCCTGCTTTTGTTAGGAGTCTGCTATCAGCAGCCCTGAGCATTTTGTTAGGGTTCTTGGGTCACAGTATCAGAGCCAAGATTGTGTCTGCAGTGCTCCAGGGTCCCAACCTGAATGTGGCCTTTGGCTGCAAATATAATCTGTTCCACTTTTGACTAATTGCTTCAGTATAGATTTGACAGGTCCTTTATGGCTACATTATGGATTTTGGTGAACTGTTTTAGGAGTGAAATGGACCTGGAGTTAAGCTGGCCAGTTATTTGCAGAGACATAAAGCAGGCATGTTTGTGGTCTAGGACTGTGTTTTATAGAGAGAAACTTCCTGTGACACTGAGAACACCTTCTCAATTATAAGAACTTATCTGGACTCCCTGCTGCTTAATGCAGCTGTACTCTAGGTCCTTCTAAACACTGCTGAATTCCAGCCTTGGTAATCCGTGACTTTAAAACCCTATAGCATTCATTAGAAACCAGCCCAAGCTGCAGGCTTGTGTTCAGAGTCTAAAAATGTTCTGCTAAAAATGTCCCTTCCACATGTCTCTGCTGGCTGCACCAGTTTGGTGACACAGCTTTTAGACTTGTTTGAATGTGAACTGCCAGGGCTATTTTGTTTCTCTGCTGAATGACTTTTATTTTTGCCTTGCTCAAGGTTTGGAACCACTTTGACAGCGGTTCCTGCCCAGGTCAGGCCATTGGAGTGAAGACACGTCTGGATAATGGTGTTGCTGGCTTCGTCCCAACAAAATTTCTTAGTGATAAAGTGGTCAAGCGGCCAGAAGAAAGGGTGAAGGTATGAAAGCAGTGGATTTTCACATATCCAACAAGAGCTGGAAGAGCCTGGAGCCAATATCAAAGATTCAGTTTGGTTAATAACACTGTTTCCTAAATGACTTTTTGAACCTTGTTTTTGTTTAAGGACTTTAAATCAGCAGCAGGTTCAAGTTCTGGTTAGTGTCCTTCTCCCACAGTGCAAATCTCTCTTGGCAGCTGGTGGGAGCCATGTTAATCAGTTAACAGGTTGCACTGTGGGAGGATTTATTATAGTCTGGCTGAAGTCTGGGTTCAGGAGACCAGAAGGCATTCTAATGCAGAGCTGCCCTTTGTTCCTGACTTTCTAAAGAGTTCACAGAGCTAGTTGGATATGCAAGGGTCACTTTCTCTCTCACAGCTTTTTCTTCTGTCTCAATTCATTTGTGGAGGTCATCGGAGTTACTGGTCTTGCTCAGGACAGGGATTTGGGGTTCTGAAAGAAACAGAATCACCTATTTTTATCACATGATAAAATAGAGGTCTAACATCTTTGCTGTCTTTTGGGGTCCCCCTGACGACTAGTCCATGCAGGTGATGGATAATGCTGGAAGCTCAGAGGTCTCTTAGTGTTTCTTTAAAGAGTTGTTACCTTCAGCATGGTTGACTGGACTAAGACATTGCAGGTTTTGTGGTGGTATTTTCTGTTTCCCATTTTATTAGAGCAGTCCTTTGTGTGTCTTCCACTCTGTTTCTGAATAGGCTTGGCTGCTTTCTTGCACATCTTGAAGTCCAGTTTTGCTGTTCCCATTGTTAAAGATATGTAAAGTAGTAAACTTAATTGTCGTCAGCCTCCAGACATGCAGTTTGCTGTGTGTTATGGGGCATAGGTAGTAGACATGCCGGAGAACTGCCCCTTTAAGCTCTCTTGATTCTAGCCATTTTGGGGATCAGCTGATTTTTGGTTTGTATAGAAGGATCACTTAAAGGTTGTACCAGACTGAAGTAGTTGAGGTAATTTGCACCTCCTTATTGGCAGCGTGACCCCACACAAATTGCTGTGCAGTGCAAGGAGGCTGATGTTATCAGCCAAACCTGCTGATCAGTTTTGTCTGCCCCTCTCCTGTAGGTGGGAATGACCGTTCACTGCAGGATTATGAAAATAGACATTGAGAAGTTCAGTGCAGACCTGACCTGCAGGACCTCAGACCTGATGGATAAGAACAATGAATGGAAACTACCTAAAGACACCTACTATGACTTTGACTCTGAGGCAGCAGATCACAAACAGGAGGAAGACTTGAAAAGAAAGCAGCAGCGGACAAGTGAGTCTCTGATTTTTCTCTCCCTTGTAATGCCAGGCTTCCCAGGGTGCTTCAGGAGAATAAGCACAATTAGACATATAGTCACAATAAAACAGTTCCTCTTGGAAGCCTTAACACTCTGCTTTGTCCCCTAGCATACATCAAGAGAGTAATTGCTCACCCATCATTCCACAACATTAGCTTCAAGCAAGCAGAGAAGATGATGGAGACCATGGACCAAGGGGATGTGATTATTCGGCCAAGTAGCAAAGGGGAGAACCACCTGACTGTCACCTGGAAGGTGAACGATGGGATTTACCAGCACGTGGATGTCCGAGAAGAGGGCAAGGAGAATGCCTTCAGCCTGGGCTCCACGCTTTGGATCAACACAGAGGTAAAAGCCCTGCAGAGCATGCCTGGGAAGGAGTTGGTGGGGAAGGAGAAGTACCTACTTGGCAGGGACCGGCTGGCACAGCCTTTCTGTCTTTGCAGCTGCTTTCAGGCTGTTGGAGAGTAACTTCCATTGTCGTTCTCCAGATTCTTAGGCAGTACTCAGCTCTTTTTTTTTTTTTTTTTTTTTCCTCAAAGCATCCAGCCTTGTTGTGCAGAATGTATGACTGAGAGCTGTATATTAGAATAAGAGTTCCTCATCATGCAGTCTAAATACCTCTTTAAATATGTCTGTTCAAAGGAGTTTGAAGACCTGGATGAAATTGTTGCTCGCTACGTCCAGCCAATGGCTTCTTTTGCCAGAGACCTGTTGAATCACAAATACTATCAGGACTGCAACAGTGGAGACAAAAAGGTGAGCCTTTCCCAGGCCATGGTAGCTTGTGGTGGAGAAAAAGGAGCATAGTATAATTTTCTTTGTCTCAGAATAGGTCTTAAACTCTTTGAGTCTGGCATGAGCTGCTGCTGGACTGAGCTCTCTAATCTTCCTAGTGTTACCTGGGGCTTGGCAGTCACTTCCCAGCTGTAGGTCTCAGGGGATTCTCTATTGGAGCAGTGGAGTTTAGGACATGGGAGGGTGGTATGCCAGAGCAGCAGAGGATTGCCCTGCCAGCAAATATCACTGAAGGGAGAGTATTGGCTTTCTGTGACCTGGTGACATTTGTGCACCAACTTGGCACAGAAACAGTGCAGTTGGTGGTCTTTGGACCTCTGGCATCAGGGCTGAAGGAAAAAGGGCTGACTGCAACCTGGAGGGAGATATCCGTAGGCCCTGAGTGTTGCTAAAAATGCAGTCTCTCCCTGAGAATTTCTCTTCCTCTCTCTCTTACTAATTAGAAGCTGGAAGAGCTGCTGATAAAGACCAAGAAAGAGAAGCCAACATTTATTCCCTACTTTATCAGTGCCTGTAAAGATCTACCTGGCAAATTCCTCTTAGGGTATCAGCCTCGAGGCAAACCAAGGTAAGTGAGAGGCAAGCCCAGCATCCGCAGTTGAGTACTGCCACACCTCAGCATTTTGCTGACAGTTTCATTTCTCGCTCTGCCAATATCCCCATAACTCATGCCTCCCCTTACCCAGGGTTTGGCCTCCTGACAGTAGAGGACCTGCATCCAGGAGTAAATCTCACCCACGAGACTCCTGTGTTTCTAAGCAGCTGGCTGCGACAAGCAATACTGCCCTGTGCAGGGGGTGTCACTGGGGTATAGGCAGTGACTGATGGGTTTTGTAGAGAAAGGCATGGTATTTTGGAGTGCGTGTTTGAAAACAAAATGCAGGTGTCCTGGGTAGGTCTGTGTGTTCATTATCAGTACAGCTATTGCGTGAGTTTGTAGGTCGTGCTTGTTCTGTTAGTGTGAGGGTGCTGTACAGTGGCAAGTATGGCTCTGAAGCAGCCTGTCATCTCTTGTGCTCTCCTGTATTCACTGCTCCTCGCAGGATAGAGTATGTGACAGTGACGCCAGAAGGATTCCGCTATCGGGGCCAGGTCTTCCCTACCGTGAACGGACTCTTCCGATGGTTTAAGGATCATTATCAGGACCCTGTTCCAGGTGAGCATCCCAAAACTTGAGTTTCTTTCCTGGGTGTCTTTTCAACTGTTTCTTTCCTGGGTGTCACGCATTAGGGACAGTTATTAAAGGACAACTTTATGTTCTTTCTCCCTGAAATGTGTCCTAGGATTCTTCTGTATGTAGGAAGTTTCAAAGCAACACTCAAGTGTTTGGCTTCCGTGGACCCACTGAGAGCTCTCCTGAGCGTTAATCTTTGCCATGCAGCAAAGGCTGGGCATGTCCCTTTCCTCTCCCTTAGCCTCCCCCACCATACAGTCCTGCACACACCATTCCCTGGTAACATAGCATCTTGCCAGTACAAGTGTTCCCTGCGTTTTTTTCAAATCCTGAGGTTCAGGCCCATAGCTGCTCTTCTATGAGAACTAATTCTCCCTCGGTTTGTATTTTATACAGGTATCACCCCCAGCAGTAGCAGTCGGACCAGGACTCCAGCCTCCATTAATGCTACTCCAGCTAACATTAACCTGGCAGGTCAGTGCAGGCCTTTCCTGGTTGGAATCGGGATGCGAGCTCCTTCTCCAGGCTCTGCTTTGTCTTAATGTGTTGAGTCTTTCTTGCAGACCTGACCCGTGCAGTGAACGCTCTGCCGCAGAACATGACCTCCCAGATGTTCAGTGCCATCGCTGCCGTGACAGGCCAGGGACAGAATCCAAATGCCACCCCTGCACAGTGGGCATCCAGTCAGTACGGCTACGGAGGCAGCGGAGGCGGCAGCAGCGCGTACCACGTAGGTGTCACTTAAAGCTTCTGAGAGGAGGTGCTGCGTGGCTTCTCCTTGCTGCTAGAAACCATCTCCTCATTGGAGCTCCACTGGGAGCCTAAGGGGTTATTCATGGCCTGGGATCATCCAGTCCTAATTGTGTACCCATGGTGCTGCGCAGGGGAGCCTGGCTGGATTCTTGGACCAGGTTTCTTCTTGCCTCCTGTGGCTGAGGAAATGAGGCATGTAATGCTCCGGAGAGAGTTTGAAGCAAGTAGCGAATTGGTCTGGCTCCCAAGGAATGTGGCAGGATGGAGAGGTGGGATCCAGCGGTGAGGGCACACAACCTTCTGCTTGTGCCTCTGAATTGGCAACGTGAGCTGCCAGTGGAAAAGATTAGCTGTGAAACTATGCGCTGAGTTTGCAGGGCTTTTCAGCTCAGCATGCTAATCTCCGAGCTGCACTGGCAGGCGAACACCTCAGCCTGACCAAACACCCAGAGGCTTTGCAGGGAATAAGATGGAAGTGGACAGGTTTGGCTCATGCTGAAGGCTTTCCTCTTGTGCTGTTGCCTACCTCCTCCCAGCCCACACTGCCAGCTCCCCAGCTGACACTGAGGCCAAATCCAGCTGCAGGAGGGCTGACGTGCCTGGGTACAAAAAATGCACCCAGCTGTTAGACCTGAGGAAGAGGTGCTGCAAGACAAGGCTTGCAGGGAGGAGTGATCCTCTTTTAGACCACCTTGGGAGGCTTTCATGGAGTTTGGCATGGTATATGCTGAGCTGGGGATAGGCAGGGACTGCGAATAACCCAGTGTATTAATCATCAAGACAATCTGAAGGAAGAGGGAGGTGAACACCGCGAGACAAAGAGATGAAGCACTCCATTGGACAAACAGCCAGCCAGCTTGGGGTGTGGGAGGGAGCCATCTCGGAGCTGCTGCACCTTCTCCACAGCCCGCAGGGGAGGAATTCATCTGTTCTTCACACCCACTGCAGCACATCATTTCTGCTAGCTTGCCCTAAGTGTCTCTTGTGCCCATCTCTTGGGGCCCTTACCTTTGCTTGCCTGAAGAATCTCCCCATGTACCCTGTGTGAGGTGAACAAGGCAGGCAGGCTGTGCTGGCCCAGGGCGGGTGGGCAGTCAGGGCCTCTCAGGGAAACAAATGTCTTGTGCTCAGCAGGGTGTTGCTCCTTCTGCTCTGCAGCCCCCCCGTTCCCTGGGCAGGGGTTTGCACTGCAAACCTCCTTCTGCCCAGATGAGGGGCTCCAGCAGGGCTGGGAGTGTGCGGCAAGGGCGTGCACCAGCCCCCTGGGTGAGCAGGGCAATGCAGAGCGTGCCAGACCCCTGCCCCGCAGCCTGGCAGGGTTTGCCTCCTGTCCCCTCACGGTATCTGCTCTCTGCAGGTTTTCACAACTCCAGCACAGCAACCAGTGGCCACCCCTCTGATGACCCCCAGTTACTCCTACACTACCCCCAGCCAGCCGATTACAACACCCCAGTACCAGCTCCAGGCCAACACCACGCCCCAGTCCACCCAGTCCCAGACACAGTCGCAGCCATCATCCAGCTCCAGGCAGAGGCAGCAGCCAAAGTGAGTGGCTCCAGCACCGGGTGCACATATCTATCCGTGTCCGGTCTTAATTGCTTTTGTTGATTTTTTTTTTTTTTTTTTTTATTTTGTTGAACCAGCGTGGCGGGGTTACCTCACACGTTCCTGCATGGGACCCGTGGGGAGGGAGGGTGGGGAGGCTCTCCCACTAGCGTGTCTCACCTTCTGCTCGTGTCGTTGCAGGACCAACAGTCACGCTGCAATCGACTGGGGGAAGATGGCCGAGCAGTGGCTCCAGGAGAAGGAGGCTGAACGGAGGAAACAGAAGCAGAGGTTGACTCCTCGCCCATCTCCCAGCCCCATGATCGAAAGCACGCCCATGTCCATCGCCGGGGACGCCACGCCGCTGCTGGATGAGATGGATCGATAGGCTGTGCTGGACCTGACCCGTAACCTCCGCTCTCTTCTCTAGGAAGGGGAAGGGAGAGTGAACAGCTGAAAACTTCCCTTCCCTTAGCCACATAACTCCTGTTTTATAGGTCGTGAGATGGTGGGAAATGACTCTGGGTGACATGCACCTGAGTGAATGAATAGACTTGGCAGGGCTGGTCTAAATATATATACTATATAAATACAAATATATCATAGGAAGGAACACTGCAGTGGCCTCTACGTTCCAGGCCCTGGTTCATCACTTTGGAAGCTTGGCAAAGTAATTATGAGATCAAACGAGTCTGTCCTTGTACATGCACAGCAGTCTGCTTTCACCGCAAAGACTAGGAAGCAAACGTAGCTGGAAGCACAGACCACCAGCCCGGAGTGAGCCTGTTTCATTTGGATTCTCCCAAACCTTGACTGTCGCTTCTCCATGTCCTGAGAGTACAAAGCAAAGTCACGGGGATTGTGACAAGCAAACCGGAGTTCTCAGAAAGTTTCTGTTGTTGGTTGCTCTGTGTTTTTGTGTGTAACAGGCTCTGGGGAGTCTGTGCCAGCCCCCAGCTGTGTTCGTAGGGGTCTAGCACAGCAGCTCTGGGGCTCGGGGTCTTGCCGGAGAGAAATGCAGCTGTCATACCAAAGGCTTGCTCTCTCCTCTGGCTTCTTTTGGAACAATATTTATTTAGTTTTGATTATTTTTGTTTTGGTTTTTTGTTTTTTTTTTTTTGTTTGTTTTTTTTTTGTTTTTTTTTTTTTTTAAATCAGGCAGCTTTCCCGAGCGCGAGACAGACATATGGGCTAAAACGCTGCGAGAGCAGATGCTCCTATGGTGGAGAATGCGAAGCAGCGGGGAGCGCATGGCATCCCCCTCCGTATCCGCTTAACCCTGCCCAGTTGTAACCAAGAGGGGTGAATAAATAGTGTTTTCACTGAACGCTAGTTGAGAGGTTTTCTGCCTGCACCCTGTGCTGCCTACCTGCCCTCTCTCAGGGCAGCGGATTTGCTTAGAAGCAAAGTTCAGTGGTGACAGTCGATGCTCCTTCTTCCTTTGTGGGTTGGAGTTGCCTTCTCTGGGCTGAAACTCTCACAGAGGAGTTGTTTTCTGTTGAGCTGATGAAGAATAATGTTTTGTTTCGATTGCGTTGTATAGAGACATCACACGGACATCTGGGGTGCATCCTGGAGGCCCACGTCTGTGTCTGGCTGGGAGAGGTACTGGGGGGCCTGCGAGGGGGGCAGAGAATGCAGATAACTTCGGTCATGTCAGTATTGCAGAGCGCCTGCCAGCGCTCGGAGCCATTTCTGAACTGGAAAGTTCCTGCTTCACACACTTTGCTCTCTCCTGCTTTGTTAGTAGGGATTTTCTATGGAAGCAGAGTCTTTGTTCCTTCCCAGTGCTCCTGGTTAGCCTCCTCTCGCTAGGAAATGAGCAGGAACAGCAGATCTTAAGAAACAAAGGTCTTTTTTGCATGTAAATGCTCCTGAAGAATGGCAGCAACCCAGGAGACAAAGCAAAGCTGTTTCCACAGAGAAATGCAGGTCCTGGCTTCCTCCCATCTCTGCAGTACTGGGGGGCTGACACAGTCCTGTTCCTCCCCTGGCACCACGCAGGCCAGGCCTGAGGACCCTGGGCTGGAGCCCACGGCTGCCCTAGGCTGCAGGTGTACTAACCTTACTCTTTTTTTTTATTTTCTCAAAATCTGTATGATGGGAATTTGGGAGCAGCTCCTTACCAGGGATGCGGCGGACACATGCTGAGGGGCAGGGGCCTAGTTGTGCATTGTCGCCTCCTTTTTGACTGTCTTTGTTTTTAGTTTTCCCTTACCGTCAATAAAAATTCTACTTTTGGGAAGCTGCCCGCATGCCCAGTGTCTGTACTTGCTGTGGTTGCCCCAAGGACTTTGCACCCACTAGCTGTGCAGGAAAGGGTGCGATGCCTCACTCTGACATTGGTATTTTGCCCCCTGGGCTCTTGTGATCCCCTTATTTCAGGGATTTGGGATTGTACCTCACCCTTCTCCGGCAACAGTGGGGTTTGCGTGGGGCACCTGTGCTCTCCAGGCCTTGGTGCTGTCATTGCAAAATAGCTCAGCTCCTCTCACTCCGGCTTTTTCTGGTGCTGGAATTTGGTGCTAGGGCAGGAAGGGCTTTCTGCCAGCCTCACCGGGTCGGAGAGGGGGGGTTGTGCCCAGCTTTGCAGGAGTCGGTGGCAACACCCTGTCTCTGGGTGCTGCCCCCAAATTCTTCACCACAAAATCCCAGTCGGGCTGTGATCACCCTCCGCCAGTCATCTTGCCCTGCCCCTGCCTCTCCCCAGGCAGCCTTTGTTCCCAGGGCTGGAAAAACTTCTGTTATCCCACTCCAAAGAGCTCTTGTCCCTCCTCGGAGGTTCCTGAGCACTGTACAAGGTCCCTGCTCCTCCCGGAGCAGCCCCCGCTGCTCGCTGCCCTTGCTGGGGGCCAGAGCAGTCGGTGCTGGTGTGGGAGCGCTGGGAAAAGGCTGTGGGTTAAGTGAAGGAGGGAGCTGGGATGGTGCAATTCGTTAACTGGGCCTCCAGAACTACACCCGTGGGGAGCTGGATCTCAACGCTCTGCGACGGGGAAGCTAAAATCAGGGCTCTGCCCCACACAGTCGTGGGGACGGGGAGCTGTGTCCCCAGCCGGAGCCACGACTCGCTGTCCCCCGCGCCCAGGAAGGTGAAAGGAGCTGCTGGGACAGGTGAGGAACAGCTCAAACCCACCCAATCCCTACCCGGCCCCCGGTGCTTCCCCTCCCGCAGCCCCACAAGTGGGATTTCCCCTGGCAGCTGCCCCCCTGTGTGATCCTTTCTGCCCCCCCTCCCCCGGAGACAGGGCCAAGGTTGAGCCATCTACTCGAGCGACCAACTTTATTACACAGCCAAGACCCGCGGGGGGTGAGGGGGGAGTCAGGGCTGCGGCTCTCCTGCAGGCTCTGCCTCGGCTTTGCTCTTCAGCCTCTTCTTTCTGTTCCTCTCCTTCCTCCTCTTCCCACGGGCGGTGGGGACCGGGGATGGGGGGGCTGGCACTGGCTCCCTGCCCAACCCCTCCCGCGCCGGGGCATCGCTCAGGACGGCGTTGGCCACTTCCCCCACGTCTGGCAGCGGGGCCGGTGGGTTCTGTCCCGCAGTGGGATGAGTGGAGGCCGCGGCTGCGGGATGGCTCATACCCCCCTTTTCAGAAAGACCTTTCTTTTTCAGACCTTTCCCCTTCTTTTTCTTGTCTTTCTTCTTCCCTTTCCTCTCGGCTGCCTTGGGGGGGGACAGCGGGTGGATGAGCACGTGAGGCTCCCCTAGGACGGCTCCTCCACCCACGCTGCTCCATGGGGGGCTCAGAGGGACCCCCCCAGGCCTCGCTGCCCGGTCAATCAGCTCCCCCCCAAACTCGTACAGCACCGGCTCCCTGGGCACCGCGATGGCCACCGTGTTGTAAGCCTTGCACCTGCAGAGAGCGAGGAGATGTGGGGTGAGGCGAGTGCCAGAGGGGGCAGGGGGTGTGTGTGGGGGGGGGGGGTGGTCCCCGCGGCGGGGGGCCACTCACCAGACGTAGAGGTAGGGCTCCACGCACTCCTCCTTGTAGGCGAACTCGAAGCAGGGCACCTGGATGACGTTGAAGAAAGCCTGGCCCACCACCCGCGAGGCCGTGTCGTTCACCCGCCGCAGGCACTCCTTCAACCTGCCGTGGGGCACAGGGTGGGGGGTGAGGGTGGGCCGGGGACACCCCTCCCCAGCCCCCAGGATGGAGGGATGCTGCGGGGCACGGCTCACCGGCGGTCGCAGTCGCAGTGGCTGATGGTGTGCCAGCGCAGGTTGCGGTACCCGTAGCGGGCGGTGAAGGGGTGGATGACGTGCTGGCAGTGGTCATGGTCCCGGCAGCACCGGTCCGTGTCCCGGTGCTCCCCTGCAGGGAAGACACGGGGTGCAGGCAGGGGGCTGGGGGGCCGCACGCATGGGCTGGGGCTTAGATGGGGTTGGGATCAGGGCTGAGCTGGGGCTGGGACTGGGATCAGAATTAGATTGGACTGAGATGGGACTGGGATCAGGCTGGGATGGGTAGGGGCTGGGACTGGAGCTGCACTTGGGTGGGGACTGGGGCTGCACCAGCACCACAGTGGGGATGAGACTGGGACTAGGCTGGGATCAGGATGGGGACCAGGAGTGGGCCAAGAGCAAGAGAGGGACTGGGCTGGGATAAGGATAGGGATTGGAAGTGGACCAGGACCAGAATGAGAGCAGGACAGACCAGGGACCAGGCTGGGGACAGAGAGTGAATCAGGACTGGACCAGCACCAGGATGGGGACAATGGCAGAACCAGTGTGGAGACCAGACGGACCAGCCTTGTGATGGGGACCAGACAGAGGTGAACTGGTGGAGTGGGACTGCACCAGCACGGGAATGAGGACTGGGACCGGGCCAGGGTGGAGCAGCACCAGGCTGGGGATGGGATGGGATGGGGATGGGATGGGGATGGGGATGGGGATGGGATGGGGATGGGGATGGGGATGGGGATGGGGATGGGATGGGGATGGGATGGGGATGGGATGGGGATGGGATGGGGATGGGGATGGGGATGGGATGGGATGGGGATGGGATGGGGATGGGATGGGGATGGGGATGGGATGGGGATGGGGATGGGGATGGGGATGGGGATGGGATGGGGATGGGATGGGGATGGGATGGGGATGGGGATGGGATGGGGATGGGATGGGGATGGGGATGGGATGGGATGGGGATGGGATGGGGATGGGATGGGGATGGGATGGGGATGGGGATGGGGATGGGATGGGATGGGGATGGGATGGGGATGGGGATGGGATGGGGATGGGGATGGGATGGGGATGGGGATGGGGATGGGATGGGGATGGGATGGGGATAGGGATGGGATGGGATGGGCTGGGGATGGGGATGGGGATGGGATGGGGATGGGGATGGGATGGGGATGGGGATGGGATGGGATGGGGATGGGATGGGGATGGGGATGGGGATGGGATGGGGATGGGATGGGGATGGGATGGGGATGGGATGGGGATGGGATGGGGATGGGATGGGGGGCACAGGTAGCAGCCGCCCCTCTGCCCTTACCCAGCTGCTCGTAGGCATCAGCGTTGCTGCCCGCACCGCACCACAGCGTCCCGGGGTAGGTGAGCCCTCGGCGGACTCGGGGCCGTCCCGGTGGGGCCGCTCCGGTGCCCGGGGCCGCTCCGGGGGCGGCCACCAGCAGCAGCAGGAGGAGGAGGAGGAGGAGAAAGAGGAGGAGGAGGCGGCAGAGCAGCCCCGGGGCGCACATGGCACCGCGCCTCTCGCTGCCGTGGGGCCGCTTTATAGTGCCGCGCAGCCCACCCACGCGGGACGGCTCGGCACGGCCCTGCACCGTGCGGAGGGGCCCGGAGAGTCCGGGGTGCTGGAGCCGCTGCCCGGAGCCCGCGGGGATGGGGTTACCCCTCCCGGTGGGGCCGGGCCCCGTTGCTGTGGCAGCCGGTGGGGTGATGTGCCGGGACCGGTAACGCGCCGGCCCCAACGCACCCGCCCCGTGACGCACCGGCCCCCCCCACGGCCCCCGGCCCCGGAGCGGCCCCCGACGGGAGAAGGATGCTCCCTGCATCCCCGTGTCCCATCCCACGGATGCTCCCTGCAGCCCCACATCCCATTCCACAGATGCTCCCCCCTATGGCTCCTTGTCCCATCCCACGGATGTTCCCTGCAGCCCCACGCCCCCATCCCACGGATGCCCCACGGTGCCTTGCCCAGGGGAAGCCCCGGTGCCCCGTGCCCCCCGCCACGGGTCTGGCAGCCAACAGTCTCCCAGTACAGCTGCCAGGGCTCGTCCCCCTTGGCTGGCTCCCCTGCCACGGAGCCCATTGACAATCTGGACACAGACCTGGCACGCTGGGCAGCCGAGGGAGACAGCTCCCGGCAGGGCAGGACGGCACCCAGACACCCCAACGGGGACACCCGTGGCCCCAGAGATTCCCCACGCTGCCCGAGACCCCACAAACTGTGGGGCTGCACGCTGAGCATCACCCTGGCTTGCTGATCCTTGCACCCACGGGGTGCCTCGGGCACTGTGCCACCTACACCGTGCCCTGCCACCGCTGGGGCAGGCGGATGGGTGTTGGGGACACCCATGTGGGGTGCAAATGCCCCAGCCCCAGGGCCCCCCCACCACAAAACCGCCTGGCTGGGACAGCAGAGGCTGGTGGGGGCCTGTTGCTGGCCCACGGGCAAGGCTCCCGCTTGGCAGCAGCCCAGGCCCAGCTGGACGAGGGTGCTGGCGGGGGCCCAGCGCCGCAGGGGCTCCCCCCTCTCAGCTGTTGCTGTCTGTGACGCTCCCCATGACAGTCCCATTCGGCTCAGCCTTGCCGCCGGCACCCAGGTACGGAGCCGATTTGGGCGCGCTGGGACCCCGGGGGTGCCCGTGTGCGGGTGTGGATGGGGGGGCACCGAGCTGCGGGGAGCCCTGCAGGGACTGTGGGGGTATGGGGGGGGGGGGGTGTCTCACTCACGTTGCTCAGTGCTCGCAGCGCCTGTGGTCCCCGCACATGGACCTCTGCCACGTCCCTGCTGCCCAGGAGAAGGGCTGGTACCTGGCGCTGATGGCCCCCAATGTCAAGGGACCCAACTACGCCTGGCTGGACCCCTCCCGGCTCTACTGCCACCCACAAGTACCCAGTGCCCGGGGTGGATGGCACCCATGGGGGGTGCCGGGGTGGACGGCAGCTCCATGGGGCTGCTGGGTGTCCACGGGCACCGGCACACGGGCTGCGGGTGCCCATGATGGGCTGTGGGCACCCAGCACCCCCATTCTCTCCCCAGGGCTTGCAGGACTGCGTGGCCGACTTGCTGCAGCCCTTCCAGGGAGACCCCATCGACCTGGTGGCCGGCATCGATGCCATGGGCTTCATCCTGGGTGAAGAGGGATGCGGGTGAGCCTGGGGTCCCCGTCCCTCGTCCCTGCGGGGCCTGACGGTGCTGTGCCCACCCCCAGGCGCTGCCGCCGCTGCTGTGCTGCGGAAAGGCTTCCTGGCCATCCGCAAAGCCGGGCACCTCTGCGTGCAGACACTGACACAGCCCTACACCGACTACTCGGGCCGAGAGAAGGTGATGGAGGTCCGCACTGATGCCATCTCGCCGGGTGAGCTGGTGGGGTGCTCCCATCTTGGGGTGGGGGGGGTGGTTGGGGTGGGGGGGGGGAGCTGCTGGCATGGGCACCGGGCACTCAGCTGCAGCCTCTGCCCCCTCCCAGGTCTGCGCATCCTCCTCGTGGACCAGTGGGTTGAAACTGGGGGCACCATGCGAGCGGCCATCCAGCTGGTAGAGCGGCTGGGAGGGGTCGTGGCAGGTAGGGCAGGGGGTGTCAGGACAGCCCGGGGTGCACCCATGGGTGCAGTGGGACCACCATCCCCATACCCTGCTGTGGCCGGTGCTGAGCCCCTCCTGTGTCCCCACAGGTGTTGCTGCCATCTGCATCGAGGACAGTGAGGGCGGGCGGTGGATCCAGGAGCGCTACAAGTGCTCCCACTGCGTTCCCCCCAAACTGCAGCCCCGCTTCGACCGCCACCAGTTCGGCTGGGACTGATGGGGGGCACTGGTACCTCGCGTGGCCCCTGCAGCCCCCCCGTGGGGCACCGGGCTGCTGGCTCTTCAGGGCAGGGATGCCCAGGGTATCCCACCGCCCAGTTTGCCTTTCACCATACCCGAGGTGACAACCTCTCCTCAGTGGCAGCCGTCCTCCCCTGGCTCCATCCATCCTCCCACCTGCCCATGAGCCTGGGGGCTGCACCCAGGGGCAGTGGGAACCCCAGTCAGCCCCAGCCCCCAGCCAACACCTTCCTTAAAAAGCATAAAAAAGGTTTTATTAAGACAAATGGGAGCCCGGGGGCATCTCCCCCTGCAAGCGGTACCCAGGTTTGCATAGCTAAGGGAGCCACACGGGTGCTCCTGCCCACCCTGGCTGTGAGTGCCCGGGCAGGCTGCGGGCCGGGGGGGCCGGGGGGCAGCAGGGACGGCTCCTCGGGGCTGGCCAGGGCCACCCCTCTTTGGTCCAGAGGTGTGAGCACAGCGGGGACCGGTGGCTGCCCCCTCACTGGCAGCACTTTTTCTTGCGGGGCGCCGACAGGTACAGGTCGCTCTCGTTGCTGCTGATCCCTGGAGGGGCAGAGAGAGGGTGGGTGGGTGGGGGATAAGGGGGGTGGCACCCACGTGGGGCTGGCCAGGGGTACTCACGCACGGTGTCGCCGATCTTGCGGGCGCTGCTGCGCTCCAGCTCGGCCAGCACGCTGCTCTCGAAGGTCAGTGCCGCCACACGGAAGAAGAAATCTCGCACGTTCTCCCCTGCCCCATGGGACAAGACCCCCTGAGTGTCCCCTCACCCTCCTGGACACTGGGGTCCGCATCTCCCCACCTGGCCAGGGACCCACCGGTGAGTGAGGAGACAGCCCAATACTCCGCCTGCATCTCCTGAGCCACCTTGAGAGCATCCTTCTCCATCAGGCTGTACTGCGCCGGCGTCTGCCAACCGAGACGGTGGGGTGGGTGGGTGGCGGGGACAGCCCCGCCGAGCCGGGGCGCAGGGAGCCCGTGGGAAGGGGGACACACTCACACTCAGGTCCTTCTTGGAGCCCACCAAGAAGAGAATCACATTGGATGGGTCGTTCTCCTTCAGGGCATCAGCCAGCCACTGCCTGCGAGTGCCACTGTCACCGGCCGGTGGCCAAGCACTACCCTCTCGCTCGCTCACCGCAGCGCTGCCAGCAGCCCCAAGCCCCCCTGCCCACATTTTGCCCCTCCATGCAGCCCCACCGCCCCCTTGGCCACGTGTCACCTACCGCGTGTGCTCCAGGGACGCCACGTCGTTGACATCGAAGACGATGACGATGGCTGGGGGGGTGGGGGGGGAAGGAGGGGTGAGATGGGGACGGGGACAACCGGTGCGGTAGGACGTGGTGGGGACCTCACCTTGTGCTCCTCGGTAGTAGGTGGAGGCGATGCACTTGAAGCGCTCCTGGCCGGCAGTGTCCCACCTAGGGAGGGGTACGGGGGGTGAGGGGGGGCCGCGGGGGTGCGCAGGGAGGGGGCTGGCACCTACTCACAGCTGCAGGCTGAAGGGCACCCCCAGCACCTCAAACCGCTCCATCTCGAAATCCACCCCAATGGTCGCCTTGTAGTTCTTGTCAAAAGTGTCCTTGCAAAAGCTGGGGGGGGGGGGGGGGGGGGGGGAGGGGGGGCAGGGGGCAGGCAGAGATGGGTGTCAGCAGCTCCCAGCCCCCCCCCCACCCCACCCCTGGGGGCTCAGTGCCCCCCACACCGAGGGGTGCCCAGCACTAGAGTCCGTCTGGAGTTGGACTCAGCCCAAGGTGCTGCTGCCCTTTGTGGGGGTGTGTGTGTGTGCCTCTTTCCCTGCACCCCCACCACCTCAGAGTGTTTCTGGGAGGGGGAAATGGGGGGGGGGGGGGATGTTCCTATTACCGGTTGATCAGGCAGGTCTTCCCCACCGAGAGGTCCCCCACCACGATGATCTTGGAGATCTTGAACCTGCAGGGCAGGGGGACGCATGGCTGCTCAGCGGGGTGGGGGGCTCCCCGCCTGCCTCCCCCCAGCCAGCCCCGGGGGCAGAGGGGTTCATGAGGTGGGGGGGTGGAGGCATCACCCCACAGCCCCCCGTGTCCGGTAGCGCTCTGCAGCCCGGCTCTCCCGCCGCCAGCCACAGCCCAGCCCGGACCCCCGTGTCCCCCCCGCGCCGCATTCCTGCGCCGTGACGCAGGGCTCGGCACACGAGCAATGCCGGCAGCCACGAGGCACCCGCGCCGGGGACCCCCCCCACCCGGGGCTGGCGGGACCGTGGACCCCTCATCAACCCCCCCCAGCTCCCCCCGAAGCCCTCAGGTGGGGGGAACCCCAAATCACCCCGTCCTCACCCCACGGTGCCCGTCCGCTGCTCCTGGCACCCGCGCCGGGGACCCCCCCCACCCGGGGCTGGCGGGACCGTGGACCCCTCATCAACCCCCCCCAGCTCCCCCCGAAGCCCTCAGGTGGGGGGAACCCCAAATCACCCCGTCCTCACCCCACGGTGCCCGTCCGCTGCTCCTGGCAGGCGCTGGCTACGGTGGGGTGGAAGGCGGGGCGGGCGTGCAGGGCGGCCTCCTTCCGAAAACACTGCGGGGGGACAAAGGGGGACACACCGGTGTGACCCCAGGGCTTGGCGAGGCTTTGGGGGGGGGGTGTGTGTGTGTGTCCCCGTGCTCACCAGGGGCAGGTCGGCGATGACTCTGTCCCTGCGGACCGGAGCCAGCACGTTCATCGTCCCGCGGGGCCGCCGGGGCGAGCTGGGTGGCCGAGGGGAGCAGGGATGGGCCGAGGGCCACCGCGAGACCTGGGGACAGAGGCAGCAGGGAGAGGAGATGTCCCCGTGTCCCCACGGAATATGGGCGTCCCTGTGTCCCCAAGCGGGGCTGTCCCCTTATCCTAATTGTCTCCCACATCCCCGGGGACAGGGCTGTCCCCGCGTCCCAGCCACCTCGAGATCCCCGAGTGGGGCTGTCCCCATGTCCCTGCTGTCCCCGTGCCCCAGCCATCCCCTCATCCTGAGTGTGCCACCCCAGGGTATGGCTGCCCCACATGTCCCCCCACGCGTGGCTGTCCCCACACCCCGGGATACAGCTGTCCCCGTGGCCACAGCCATCCCCGCACCCCGGGGTACCACCGTCCCCCCTGTCCCAGCTGCTTCCCAAGTGCGCGACCGTCCCCGTGTCCCACCGATTCCCACACCCCCGGGTGTGCCCGTCCCCGTGTCCCACCCGTCCCCACACCCCCGCCTGTCCCTGTCCCCTCTCCCCCGCGCTCAGTCCGCAGCGTCCCTCCGAGGCATCGCGGTCCACGGGCCAAATCCCTCCCCGTTCCGTCCCGGTCCCCTCCGCGAGGGAATGCGGTGGCGGGGGGATCCCCGTTACCGTAAACCTCCCGGCTTCGGTAGCGGTGCTCGGCGCTGCACGCCCAGTCCCGGGGAAACCGGCGTCGTGGCCCCTCCCTCTGGGGCGGAGGAGGGACGGGGGCGCCTGTTCCTCCGGGGCTGGGCTGCTGCGCTGTTCCCCGCAAAACGGGACCTCTGTACCCCGTCCCCCCGCCCCGCACATACACATCGGGGCTCATCCCGACCCCCCGCCGTCAGGGCGGCGACGGTATGGGAGGGCGGTGCGCGGGACTACAACTCCCATGAAACCCCGCGGGGGGAGGGGCGTGTGTGCGCATGCGCCTAAGAGACACCGTGTAGGCACTACCATTCCCGGCGGGCCCCGCGGCGCCACGGAGAGTTGGTGGGGACTCGCACACCAATGTGCAAAATCTCGCGAGATTTGGGGCTATAAGCCCGTGCGGCGTGGGGCGGGCGGCCCCTTTCGGCTTCCGCCTGGCCAAGATGGCGCCCAAGGCGAAGAAGGAGGGTGAGAGCGGGGGGCGGTGGGGCCTGTGGGGGGTCATGCTGCGGTGTCCCCCGGGGTGCGGGTGTACGCGGGGTGTGGGGGGGTGTTGTGCCGGGATTTGGGGAGGGCGGAAGGGCTGCAGCCCGGTGCTGGGCCGCGGGCACGTGGAGGCGGCGGGAGAGGCCTGCACCGGCGGGCACAGCCCGCTCGTCTGAGGGAGAGGAGGCTCCGGGCTCGGTGCGGGGATCCTCGGGGCCCTGGTCTGAGGGAGGGGGAGGGAATGAGCGACCCCGTCCGGTGGTGAGGTGGGAGACGGGTTTGTGGCGGGGGAAGGGGAAAATCTCGACCTTCGTTGGCTGGGGAAGCATGGGCCGTTTGGAGGGGTCCTGTTCCCTTGGGCTGTATGACAGGGGAAAGCCATGGCCCCTTGGGTTAGGCAGGGGAGTGCATACTGGTCCTGCAGATCCTGGTTGCGCTGACTGAGCTGCTGTTGCAGCTGTGCCTCCAAAGACAGAGGCAAAGGCTAAGGCGCTGAAAGCCAAGAAGGCCGTCCTGAAGGGGGTCCACAGTCACAAGAAGAAGAAAATCCGCACATCACCCACCTTCCGCAGGCCCAAGACTCTGCGACTGCGGCGGCAGCCCAAGTACCCCCGGAAGAGTGCCCCACGGAGGAACAAGTATGTGTGGGGTGTCGGGTCCTGCTCTGCTGCAGGGCTTGGGGGGTGGGAGCAGCCCCATGCATGGGCTGCTCTGGGGACCTGTGCCCTGCTGCAGGTCCCAGGGTGACCCATGGGAGCTGAGCCCACACCTTGGTGGCAGAGTGCTGTAAGGGGGGGTGTTTGGGAGGTGCAGGTGATGATTTCAAGCGACCAAAGCCTGAGAATTTGTGATTAGAACTTTTTTTGGCAACTGATGCACCCCAGAGAAAACCCCCGAAGTGCAGAGGTGGCATCTGCCAGCCTTCTGTTAACCACAGGGTCTCTGTCCTGCAGGCTGGACCATTATGCCATTATCAAGTTCCCTTTGACCACAGAGTCGGCAATGAAGAAGATAGAGGATAACAATACTCTGGTTTTCATCGTTGATGTCAAGGCAAACAAGCACCAGATCAAACAGGCTGTCAAGAAGCTCTATGATATTGATGTGGCCAAGGTCAACACGTTGATTAGGTGAGAGGAGGGGGGAGAACAGATCACTTGCTGCTGGGTGTGAGGTGCTTCAAGAGCCCTGAGTGGCTTTTAGCAGAAAATGGGGGGAATATATGTGAGTTTCATTGATTGTGGGTACTCTCAGGAGGTGTGGGAGTAAGCTCCATAGCATTTTCAGCATTTTAAGTTTTGAGAAACACAACTTGTGACTGAGCACAGAGTAGTGGAAGTAGGAAGTATTGGCAGACCAGAGGGTCAGCTTCTTCGGGGAGCTCTTACAACACCCAGGGAGTCTTGTGCAAATGATGTGAACTTCTTTTTACCACTGAGTAAAGTGATGTTTCCAAAGGAACCACTGATGCACACTGCTATAGCAGGAATGTGGAGCAGGCAGGAGGAGTTGTGTGCCTCTGTACTGATGCCTCCTGTTCATCTCTAGGCCTGATGGGGAGAAGAAGGCTTATGTCAGACTGGCTCCGGATTATGATGCGCTGGATGTAGCCAACAAGGTGAGAACTCTTTGAAACTTCGCAGCTCCTGTTTTTATTTTCTGTACCCGGTTGTTCTGTGATGCACAGGTGAGGTACTTGTGCTTCAAGCACGGTGGCACTTCTGTGGAGTGTCCTTATAGTTAGACGGGGTCCAGGTGTTCAGAAGCAAAACCACGGTATCTTAACAAAACAAAATTCTGCCTGGAAGATCCTGAGATTGGGTGGGAAAAGTTACTGAGAGAGAATTGCTGCTGTTCTTTAACTCCTCCAGAGAGGGGCTCCACTCCCCAGGACTACAAGAGCTCTGTAATATCAGCAGGGAAGACACAGAAACGACCCTGCAGCTGCTGGATGGAAACAGCCTTTGTCCTAGCAGTGTTCTTGGCCAGCACTCTTGACAGCTGATTCAAACAGGAATTGACAGCAGAGGCACCGTCGGGGCAGTGGCATCGCTGTGCGGCCATGGTTGAAGGCGTTTCTGCTGTGCAGGTGTCTGTGATGCTGGAGGTGGCAGTTTAGCCCTCAGGGTGGTTGAGGTAGGCAGGAGACAGTGGTGGTCCAAACTGAAGTAGAGGAATGTGACTTCACACAAGGGTCACTGTGGAATAAATGTACAAAGCAGTTGTTTAAGGCACTTTGGCAGGTCTGGGAGAAAGAAGCCTGTCCTCATGTCAGGAATCCTAGGGAGATGCAGCCATGACAGCGATGCCTGTGGTGGAGGCTCTGCCTTTCTGCCACCGCAACATCTGTTTTAACATGCTTTGCTTCTTTCCAGATTGGAATCATCTAAACTGCATCTACCGAGGACTGTACAGGCAGGATAATAAACCCTGTGACACCACTGAGGGGCTCTTGTGTTTTGTGACTGCATAGCCCATGTGAAGGAGAGCGCCCAGCAAACTTTTGGGGCTTCATTTCAGGTTCCTCCCTCCCTTCCCCGCAGTAGGTGGGCAGAGCTGACTGCTCCGCGAGAGGATTGCACAGGGGACAGTGCTGTCCCACTGATGGAGTCTCCTGGATCACTGACCTCTGCTGTGGGTAAACATGAGGTGATGTTCCCCCAGATCTCAAATATCTGTATATTTACCCAAGACCTCTGGTATCTTGCATTTGGTTGCCCTGTGTATCAGCTCCTTGCCTGTGCTGCAAGCTTCACTTGACAAAGCCCTCAAGCTGCTGCTGTCACAGGGGCTGTGTGTGCTGTTTTTTTTCTGATGTGATCCCTACTCCCTGCACTGCAGCGTGTGAATTGCAGCCTGGTTTCCCTGACACTTCTGTTACGTTGCTTGTAACCTCATGGGGTTCACAGCCCTCATCAGGCCTGTTTCCAAACTAGCTGCTGTTGCTGCCTCAGCAGTCTTTTGTTTCCTCAAATTTGTAGATGAAACCAAGTTTTCGGAGCACTTAGAGTCACAAGAATGTGGAGCACTGGGTGAGCAGGGAATGGAGGTGAAGAATGGATAAGCCTTTAGGGGTACTTGGTCTTAAGTATGTACTTGACTGAGAAAGATGATGAAAGCTGTGAACAAATATTGACTGAGGTAGTTGAGCTCAAGCAGTGGGACACACAGTTCCTTCGAGCCTCTTACAAAGGGTGGTGGAGTGCTGGGGGCAGTGGCTTGCCCATGTCTGGAGGATGGGGGTGGCTGGACAGGGGGAGCTGTCCCAGTTGCTGCTGCTTTTGGGACCTCGGAGTAAAGATCTGTGCTGGGTTGCGTGGTCTTTGGCTCGATCCTGCTCCAGGTGCTGAGGGGGAGCACAGCTGGATCTGCAGAGGCACTGGGACAGGCTGCGGGGTGGCTGTACTGCCAAGCCTGGGTGTGGGCAGACCTGGGCTGCTGTCTGTCTGCTTCTGAAAGCAGGGCTTGGAAGTGGGGGCTGCCTGGAAGCAGCCTTTCCTTCTCCCTGGGCCCCAGGGGATGCTCAGCTGGGTTGTGGGGGTGAGATGGCAGATGCTCCCTGCCTGCTGTAAGGGCTGAGAAGCCACCTGGAGAAACTGCTGCATCCCTGGACGCCAGTCCCTGCTGACCTGTGGGTGCTGTGCAGAGCTCTGTTGGCACCCTGGGCGCAGGCCAGACCCCAGGCCTGTGCCCAGGGTCTGCGCCCCTCTCCCCCCCAGCCTGGGTTAGGGGTTTGAAAGAAAGCCGGGGCTGTTGGCAAGCTGTGCAGGGTGAGGTCAGGCTGAAGGACAGGCAGCCTCCCCTGCCTGTGACACAGCCCCACGGCTGGGAGTGCGGTGGTGCGAGGATCTGGGACAGCCCCGCTACCTCCTGGGGTCAGGTCTGACGTTCTGCTGGCTGGTGGGGTTGAGGGCACCGTCCCGCTCTCCTGCCAGGGGACAAGCAGCAGCAGGGGCTCCGGGGGTTTGCCTGAGCCCCGTGCCTCCTCCTTAGCTGTAGTCACCCCAAGAAGGATGTGAGGGGAGAAGTTCCCCTCTTGTAGCAAAGCTGGTACCGCTGCTGGGGTGAGGAGCGGGTCTGTGCTGCAGCAGGGAGGCTGGGGAGGGATTCCTCATCAGCATGACTTGCAGTCTGCCCTGACCCTGCCTCAACTTAGCCCAGCGGCTGCTGCTGTCTGGCACTTTGCTTCCCTGCGCTTGCCTCTCGCTCCGGGCTGACAGCCAGCCCGACCCACAGCTTGCCCCAGCCTGACCAGTGCTGCGCTCCTGGGAGATGCTCTGGCTGGAAGCCAGGAGGGGAACGAGGGGGAGCCAGGCTCTCTGTTTTGGGAAGCTTTGTCATGCCTGACCCTTCCATGGCGCTGTAAAGGCAGTGGGAGCGTGGGCTGGTCCTCCTCAGCCTGCGACCTGCTGGGGCAGAGCCACATCTGCTCTGCACGGAAAGACAAGGGGAAAGGTGCAGCGATTGGGGTGAGGGGAAACTAAGATTTGGGCTCTCTGGAGAGAGGAGGGTGATCCCCTCATTACTTCCATTTAATCACTGGCTTATTTCCACTGCAGCACCTGTCTCTGGCTGAGCTGGGCTGGCGATGGGGTTGGTAGAACAGATCCTGCCCTGGAGCAGGGGCTGGGTGGGAGTCCCTCTAAGCCCCATCGCTTTATGCCAGTCTGGTGTGATCCCAGAGCTGTCACGTCAGCAGGATTTGCCTTCCCAATGCTCTGATGCTCCACACAACCGGCTGGGCTGGTTCTGGCCCTGCTTCCCCCATGGAGCTGAACCCCTACTTTCCTCCTGC